TATTTGCATAATGCTGTGTTTTCAGCAGAAGCTTTCAGGCTGCAATTAAGCTAATTCAATAACCGAAACTTCAGAAACACATTCAAGCTTCTGCTGACTTTTTTTCCTGTATCTTTGATTTTTGTTTGCGTTTGATCTCTGCTTTTAAACTATTGTAACTGCCATGACTTCAGAGACAGGATTTGGATGTGAACAAACATGTGCAAAAGGCAGGTATTTTTTAATAGGCTTCATAATCTTGTCTTTTTGCTGAAGTTTTCACGCGAGTTGTTTGAGGAAGCCTTAGAGATGTGAGGAAATGCTGTGGTGTCCATCTATGTGCTAGAAGACGTGCCAGCACGGGTGAACATTGCCCGTCTATCCTCATTGAGAAGTCTGAAATAGATTACACAGCAATAGGAAGGATGGGGGAAAGAGTCACTAAAGGAGACAATTTAAGAGATTCTGAATAGCGTGGAGTGTGTGAAAGTGAAGTTCTACATTTGTGTAAAATGGCTAAAGGTTAGTAATAGAGGGGGGACAAGGAGAGCAGATGCTGCTTGTGTTGACAGTGTTGGATGGACTCTGCAAACTGAGGAGCACATCCACCAGGAAAACTTAACTCTTCTGCTTTCAATTAACTCTGAAGATCTTAAAGGTTGTTTCTGATGCTCATCTTTTAGGAAGCTCCTAAGGGAAGGCACATATATATATGTGTGTTTGTGTGTACACATATATACATATGTGTGTATATATATATATCTGTATGCACACACATATTTTAACATTAGCAGCACTGGAGGAAGGTTCACCCATGAAGCACACGTGGAAAGTGAAAAGAATTTGGGGATATTAAGTAGTTTCAGCTAATGCTGGCTTGATTTCTCGCATCATAATGGACCTTTTAGGTAGAAGGACTTAAAGTAGCAAACAAATGTCTTTAGGCTGTTTAATGGAGTAAACAGCGCTCCATCTATTGAATTGCCACAAAATACAAATATATGTATGTTTTTAGATTAGTTCATTATTATATAATTTTGAAATTCCACAGCTGTATTCTGTGGAATTTCAGAAGCCTTGAGGATGCTTCATTGTACCATTTGGAAACGGTAGGGAATGTTCTGTGCTGAAAATCACTTAAATTTAGGAATAGAAGATTAGGAATAGAAGCTTAGTGAAGTGACTTATGAAGCTGTTCATTTTGTGACTCATCCGGGGGACCTGCAACTGTTGTGATAAGTTTGCTGTATCAACGAAGCTTTCCATGTGAACATRAAGAGTTTGAATCTTTTATAGCTTTCAATTTGTAGTTTGTGTAGCTGAATATTGCTTCTCTCTYGCTCTCTTTCTGGAAAGCACAAACCAGGGGATTAGGCTTCAAATAATGACAGGCCTGTTAGAGACAAATTGAAAAATTACTTAAACCTTACCTGTATGAGGAAGTAAGATGAAGTGAGACCAAGAGAATARAGAGYTYAAATAGCTTATATTCAAGCMCTGCAAGAATGCATTGACTACTTTAATTGAAAATTACYGAGCCTCATGTTAGGTTTTTATATGGTTTAAGTTAATTTCTAAAGAAGTCTTGAAGTAATTAATATTTATTTTGTAATGAATATCAAATATAGTTGTATTTTGAAATTTCAGTTGTATATCACAAGCTTTCTGAAAGGTTGGAGGGATGATGTTAACATTTTGTTGGAGGAAATRGGACAAGTCATGAAGCTACAAAACTGAACAGAAATGCCAGATGCTGCTTGTTTTGACTGATGTGAAATATTTAATAGGCAAACCCTGCTAATATAAACTAACTACAGAACATTAGCTTTGGGAGAGGGTATACTGGATATGAGAGATGTGTAACTTTGTACTTTTTTTGTGTGTGTTTTATAAGTTGTGCAAAACTAGTCCTTGTGAAAGGGAAAAGAAAAATTAATGGAAAGTATCTGAGTAGAATCTGCTAAGTAGATCTTAATATGTCTACAGAAAAAAACTCTTCACCTTTAAGAAGCTATAGATAAAAATAAACATTTAAATTATAGTTAAAATTGCAAGGAAAGAAAACYAGYGGGCCTTTTATTCTTAAAAGATCTTCATTCTAATTTAGCCTGTCACTCTGGTCTATGTCATTGTGAAACCTGCAATGCATAAAATGATTGAAAACTTTCCCAGTGCTGCGTTGCTCATCAGTAGTCTTATTTGTCAGACTAAGGAAAAGTAGAAATCTCCAAACCTTCTAGCCTCTTTCATTTTAAGGAAAGAAAGAGTTCTGATAATTTCTAATTCAGTAACTTATTTAGATRTTTATTAAAAACAAAACAAAAATACAAACTGGCTGGAGAAGCAGCCATTTACCAAAGAATTTACCCAAAGAATTTTACTAATCTTAAGGCCTGTCAGGTGTTACTTTTTCAGTTGTAACTTATATGCTAAATATASATCCTACCTAGTTAATATTGTGTTTGTTCAATATTATTGAGGCGCTTCTCCATATTTCTCCTTTTTTTTCTCTTGTCTTTGCTGTCCGTTCTGTTTTCTCACTACAAATTGCTGCTATTTTTGRTGCCCTTTTCAGCATCTTGTTTCACCACTCCTAGTCTCACTTGATATTTCCTTTAGTTGTTTTTCTCTGCCTCCTGACAAACGTGTGTATTTCTATTCTCCCAACTGCCACYAAGTTGAACACAAGCCCTATTTCTAGCAGAGCCTGACAACTCCTGGACTTGGACAAAAACGACAGAGAAGATTTGGCATTGCAGCCTGAAAAATCAAAGGGACCACCACCACCTCTTAGCAGCATCTGAAATATCTTCATTTTCTGTTCATGTTCTGTTCATCTATCTTTCTGTTTTTAAGGGTGCACTCTTGGCAAAAGGCAGATTTGCATAGCTGAGAGGAYATCTGRTCAACATGTACAGGTGCCTGAAGGGAGAACGTRGGGAGAAAGCGGCCAAGCTYTTCTCAGTGGTGGCCAGTGACAAGACAAGGCGCAATGGGTGCAGCACAGGCAGGTCCATCTCTACATGAGAAAGAACTTTCCTGTGAGGGTGMCAGAGCCCTSGCACAGGCTGCCCARKGAGGCTGYGGAGTCTCCTCCTCTGGAGATCTTCCAAACCCGCCTGSRTGCCGCCCTGTGCCCYGTGCTCTGGGTGTCCCTGCTGGAGCAGGGGGTTGGRCTGGATGATCTCTAGAGGTCCCTTCCAACCTTAACTGTTCTGTGATTCTGTGATCCTTCTCAGTTGCTGAAGGAATTCCAGCACTCTTCCTACTGTTGTCCAGTTAATGGATTTTTATTTGGAAGATGCGTTGTACTATCTTCACTAACATCGGGCAATTTAAGGAAAGGCTCTGCCCGGTCCCTGCCCAATGCTGAGAAGGAGAAGCAGCATCCCAAACCTGGGAAGGAGCAGCATACTGTTCTGTCACTGCGCCTTTCCTCTGCTTCTGTCTCCCATCTTATTTGTGCTGTGGTGGAATCACATCTCTGGACCTGTGCACGTCTCCCGAGTTGCTGGTTGCAGTGAGGTGGAAGGGTGAATCCCCTGACCCACCCCATGCCCAGGRGGTTCAGTCATTGCTTACACTGCAGTAAGGAGCTCGTGTCTGCTTCAGTTCCTTAGCTGGGTCATTCCAAGAAATATCGGTATGGAAACTCCAGAGAACTTTTGCTGTCTGATGTATTTTAGAGTCCTAGGAGCAGGTATTTGCTCTGCTCAGTATTTGCTGTGCTACACCTYGGGAAGTCTAGCTTAGCAATAGTAACAAGGATGGTCTGTCATCATGGAGCTGTGGCATTTGATTCATGTGTTAGAAGCTACCATTGCAACCACTGGGAGAACTGCCCTGCCCTCCAAGAACAAACATAAAAATACTAGTATTACCCTTCCAGAGAAAGGTTCCTGTTCTTGCAGGGCATGTATGAGATTTTCAGTAAGATATAGTTGCTTCTTATTTATCTGTATTWCACTATATATTTTAGTTCTGGATTTTTTTTCTGGATTTAGTTGTGGATTTTTAAAAAAATTCTTCCTAAAGTTAGTCTTGTTATTTTAAAATGACTAAAAAAAAAACTAGGTGATGGGGAATGCTTGAATTGCATTGTAGCATAAGCTTGCTAAGGTGTATATAGACTTTAAAGTTTGTAGCTTTAACTCCAGCTGTGCCAAGACACTTTAAAAAGATAAGTAAAATATATGTATGTATATACACAACTATATGTTGCCTTTGAAATAAACATAGTTTCATTATATCTAGGTATTCTGATATTGTCAGATCTGAGGAGGCTATAGACCTGGATCTCTGAAGCAGGGGCAACTGGCTAATGAGTGGCAGAGTTGCAAGGAACTTCACTAAAGGGAAATGATCTTTCCCAAATAAGAAGAATATATTTGAGGAAGGGAAGAAGTAGTTGCTCTTGAGAGTTCATTTGAACTTGTGTGAAATACACCTGATAAGGATTTCTGTTGAGAACTGCCATGAAAAACAACTATCTGTGTTTACAAGAAAAGAATGAAACATGAAATCACAGTGATTCMCAAACACCTTTGGGAGTGAGGTAAGAAAGCATTTCTTGTCCAGCTCTTGAATGAGAATAAGCAGATCTTAATACTGCCGGTAACGATGAAGCAGTGAAGTTGGAAGGGAGAAGGGGAGGGTTGTTATTGATGTGTGGACACAGTTGAAGGGGCAATGGAAAATGCTGTTAGCAGCATTGAAGATGATTTTGTGCTTGGAGATTTTGGTGTTAAATATGACTGAATATCACTTTTGAATTTAGCTGTGAAGTTCATGTTCGCATGTTCATTTCTGACATCTGTCATGTACCTCCTCACAAGTTCACTATTAAAATTAAATATTTAAATCTGATGGATCAGTGTCTGGCACTTGTTATCTTCTCCTGGGTGCAAGCGTTGTTGTAAAGGCATTCATGTATGTACGTATATATACATATGGCTTTACACACACACACACACACACACACACACACACACAGCATTTAACTCTTTGTTTTTTCTTTAACTGCCTCTCTAGCCTTGTGGCAAACCATTTCATACTTCTCCCTCTCTCCCATCCTTTTCCAAGTCTTCCTCATTTTAAATCTACCATGTGGTGAATAGGGACAGGGTAAACTTTAAAGTTTTGAAGTTTGTTCTGACTTATAGAAACATCTCTGTATGTTGATGACCTGGCCATGGGAGGAGAAAAAGATGTTTTAAAAACAAACAAACAAAAAAACAAGCAAAAACCCCACCATGCTATGTTAGACTACCTGTGTTTGGGGTACTTGTCCTTATTTCAGTTGAAGTGGCACTGGGAGCAGCCTTATTTAAAAAGACAGCAACAGATCCTTTTTTTTAGATGGAAGGCTTCCTTGGTGCACCTGTTTGGTCTGTGAACACTGGTAACAGGAACCTGCTACCCTGCTTCCTATGGTCTTCTTCCCAGCTCTTCATTAGGCTGGAGGTGGCGAAAAGCGTGTTATCTTTTTGAGAGCATTCCTTCTCCTCACATCCCCTTTTCTATGTTCTGTTTCAKCGGGCAGAGCACACAGCCTGCCTTTCCTCTGCCCCTGCTGTGGCCTCTGCAGGCAGAATCCGCCTCCCCTTAGTGCTGGATGGGCCGGTCCTGCTCTGTGCTCGACCCTTGTGCCCCTTCTTCAAAGCATCTTCCTTTCCATGCAGTCAACATCCCCGTCCTCTTTGTGTTTGTGAGCTTTAGGGTTGCAAAATAGTGTTTGACTGTCCCATAYTGGCCTGCTCTTCTTTCTCTAGATGTTCAGGTTGAGCGAGTCCCAYGTTAACCCTTGCCTTAAAGTAGCTGATTTTCCATATGTTACTAAAAGATAACCAAGGGATCATAACAGAAAAGTGAATTGTGCCTCTTGAAGAGGGATCCAAATTCTGTCATGTCTCAGTTCTTTAAATAGCCTTCTGGCAGACGAGAAACATGTTTTTAAACATTGCGTTCCAAGTTCCTGGAATTTCCTTTCTAAATATAGAGCCATTTAGAGCAGTTAATACTTCTATTAAATAAAACTAATAAAAAARTAAAGTTTTCTTTCAGTACTAAAATTTTCCTAGCTATCGCTGCTTATTACCTGTTCACAAGAGAAGTTTCTCTGATGCATTATGAAGAGTGACTTTAGTAGGAAATGGTTATTGCTGTCCTTGCTGGAATGCTAGGAAGAAACAACCTTGTGGTTGAGTGTCCAAAAAAAAAAAAAAATTGTGCTTATTTGGAGAAAGGTTAACTCTTAGAAAATACTTTTGCTCTTTGCTCTAATTTGAGGAAAGAGTTGGACCTTTTGTGCCTGGAGAAAACGAAGAAGATCTTGCTAATATGTATAAATACCTGAAGAGAGGATATAAGGAGGGTAGGGCCAGGCTCACCTTAGTGGTGCCCAGCAACAGGACAAGGGGCAAGGGGCAAAGACTGAAACTTGGCAAGTTCTGTCTGAACACAAGGAGTGRGAAGTTCTTTACTGTGGGAGTGACTGAGCACTGGAGCAGGCTGCTCAGAGAGGTGGTAGAGTCTCCATCCTTGGAGATGCTCARAAGCCGTCTGAACAGTGTCCTGGGTGACCTTGAATGAGCAGAGGTCCCTTCCAACCTCAACTATCCTGTGATTTATATTCAAATACTTCGACTCTTGATAAGTCTTTTCTTAATATTATGTTTAAGAGTACTGACTCAAATAGGTGCATTTAATTCAAAATGAAACTATATGCTAGAGAAACATTGCAGTTTTTTTAAAGAGCAACAGATATTACACTGACCTTGTGTTGATATTATTATTATTTTTCTTCTAGTTTCAGTTATCACAGAATGCCTACTAAAGTCATGGAGAATTCTGGATGATCATAGAATATCTAGCTACTTGTAAAATAGCTAATTATCTACTTTGCAGCTGATATGGATATAGAATATCTAGCTACTTGTAAAATAGCTAATTATCTACTTTGCAGCTGATATGGATACGGTGCATAAGATTAATGATTATTTCAGAATATTTCAGAATATTTCAGAATATTTAAGGTTGGAAGGGACCTCTACAGATCATCTAGTCCAACCTTCCTGCTCAAGCAGGCACACCTAGAGCATGTGGCACAGGGTGGCATCCAGGCGGGTTTTGAAGACCTCCAGAGAAGGAGACTCCACAACCTCCCTGGGCAGCCTGTTCCACTGCTCTGTCACCCTAACAGTAAAGAAGTTCCTCCTCACCTGGAGACGGAACTTCTTGTGTTTCAGCTTGTGGCCATTATAAGAAAGAGTAACCAAATGATACTTCTTGCTGTAAACTGGCACCACCCACTGCCATGCCTTGGAGAAGGGCCAAGGGAATAGAACATCACAGTTTTCCTTATAGTTGTACTGTGCTTCTTTTGGGAAGTTAAGGCGTAAGCTCATAATTCAAGGAGGTGTGACTCAGGAATTATTTTGAACTCTCATCTCACTTGCAGTACCACAGTAGTCTTGTGAGCTGTGAATTGGAGATCTGGTGTAACCAGGTCCAATTCTAGCAAAGGCTGAATGACTTGAGATTTTTGAAAGTGATTTCCTTATCTCTTTGCTATTGAACTTGACATGAACAAAACTTGACTAATTCAGAGTATACATTTTAAACAGCAGTCTAAGAAGAATGCTGGACAGTCTAATGCCCAACTCCCCATATTTCCTTTTCATTTTAAACTCCTGTGACCTGTTTCTGCTTGGATGATGGGCTCTGTGCCGTTTAAAGGATTGCAGTTCTATGGTGCCTTTGTACCAGTCTCTTCAATCTGTGACTGCCTAATCACCCTCTTGGATAATGGCACCTTTTGGATTAGTTGTCCAGGAAGATAGTTTGGAAAATCATCTTTTGAATCTTTAGGTGGTAAGGAAATTTGACTGTAGCTGTAATCCTTTCCAGCTGCTAAGACATACTGTCTTTTAAAATTACTTTCAGTAAGATTTGTACAGATTTTCTTTTTGACTAGTTAATGGAACACTTTTCTCCTAAATTTTGTGTCAAGACTCAGCTGTGTCAGGTGCTGTCTACTGAAGGAGTTGCAACGAATTTCCTAAAGAGTAACATGAGAATATTTACCTGCTGTCCTAGTAATACTCCAATTAGCTCCCATACTGCTCTGTATAATGTTTACATCACTGTTCCTGTACATAGTGGAACTAAACACTGTGGAAAGCAATCATATTASTCTCTTAAACTTGATTGAGTATCAAATAATTTGGCCTTTATTATTGGGTAGGAAATATCTACTTACACTTCTCTGTAGTAAGATGTACTTTTAATCTTGTTTGGCAGCAACAACTTTCTCAGTTCTCAGTCTTTGAAAATTCTATAGATGAGTGACTTGGTCTATCACATTTTTTGAAGTCTTAACTCTTGTGTAAGTCTCCATACAGCTTTTTGCATACAGTTAATTAATGATGCCTGTGACTGGAAACCATAACTGCAGCTACCAAATCGAAAATTGAAACGTTTTATACATATCACAAGTAATTCTCTGATCCCATTGGCCTTCTGAGACACAGTGCTGAGCAAGAGAAATGAAGTTCCTGTAATCCCTGTTGTTTTATCCCTGTTGTTTTATCCCTGTTGTTTTATCCCTGTTGTTTTATCCCTGTTGTTTTATCCCTGTTGTTTTATCAGGTGTACTGCAAAACTGACTTCCCATTTTTGTTTTCTTCTGCCTTTTATCTGCAGAAATGCGCTATGCAACTGTGTACTGGAATAAAGCTGAGAAGACACTTCAGGTCAGGAATATACTGGACAGAAGTGGAGATGCCTATGGTTTCTACAACAACTCTATACAGAAAACAGGTTGGGGAGTTCTGGAGATCAAATCGGGCTACGGCCATCAGACTTTAAGCAATGAAGATATCATGTATGCATCTGGCTTTTTGGAAGGCTATCTCACAGCTCCGTAAGTAGCCCAGGAAGCAACTCATSACACTTCCAGTAGATTTCTGTACTATTTTTTTTTTCTCCTTAATTCCTGTCTGCTTAAACTAACTATATACTTAGCAGCTGTGTGCTGTTCTTTTAATTAGCAGTAAGTATGAAGGATAGCATATTTATTACAGGATGAAGATGTGGTTTCTACTCTGTGCACTCCTCATCCTTTAGAAGTTCCTTCTCACCTTGGTGAGATAGATGAGCACTGTTTCTGTGTTACCACGTAAGTAATGTAATCACAGAATGGAGCGCGTAAGCCCTGCATCGTAAATAGCTACAAAAGGATAGAAGAAAGAGTAGTTATTTTCCTAGCCTATAGTTAGGTGATTTACCAATAACAGATGACACACTTGAATACGCCATGCAGGAAGAGGTGTGTCTAGCAAAGGCTATAGGACTTTCCTAAGGAGCTTTTTCAGGAATTGTTGTCCAGAAACTGCTAGGGAACACACTGAAACCTCACAGCATGATGAGAAGTTTAGTCAGTCTTGGACAAATTTAAAAATTGCCCTGATAGGCTGGATGGCAGACTGGCCTTGGTCGAGAAGGCTCAATGTGTGTGTGAAAAGCCATTGGAGAGGTGGGGAACTGAATCTCACAACACAGATCTGTGAAAATTGACAGCATTTTTATGCTTGTTATAATTACCCAGCAGTGTGTGTTGGGTGTGGGTGATCATTTATTTATTTATTTTTTCCAACCATTTATTTCTAGGCTAGGTGGGAAGGCAGCATGGGACTTTAAGATACCAACTGATGGAAATCACAGTGCCACAGCTAAGCACTGAGCTGAACAGGCTTCATCTCTTCCTTTGCTGATTTAGTTGGAGCAAAAGAAAAATTCCCAAGTTCTAATGCATGTCTGAGGAATAGATGTTTGTGATGTTTGCTGTTATGAATTTGGCTTTACCAGTTTTGCTTCCAGAACACTGGAATATACGTTCGCAGGCTGCACTGAACAGGCCAGCAGTGCAGAGTKTTTTGTGCAGCACTTGCATCAAATMTGACTGCTGGACAAGTCTTTYATTTAATGAGTAATAAGACGTTTTAAGATTTACAGATTATTCTTTGATCATAAAATGTTTTAAAGCGACTCCAGTAGACTCTTCCGGAATTAGGTCTCTGGACAAGAATATTGGAAGGAATGAAGGTATTTGGGAGTATTTGTCATCAACAAAACACTTTGCCAGGTCAAGGAAAGAGTGATCTTAAGAGTTCTGAATGCATAGCATGTACCCTGTACATGAAGAGAAAGGAAATGCATATAAGAGATTTAGAAATATGCTCAGTAGATTGTGGCATGAGATGGCATTGTTACGTGCTATGCAGGCAGCTTATGTAAACTGTGTTTTGGATCTGTGAATATTAGTATTACATCAAAATATTTTGTTACAATTGTTTGTTGTGCAAGAGAATTTCACTAAGGCTCTACCTAGCAGCTTTCATCTCTAAGTGATTAACTCAAGGGCTGTTATGGCATCTGCTGAGCTCTAAGTAGCAAGCCCAGTCAGATGGCAAATAATGCTCTAGTTGCAACAAGCCTCTTCCTGTTCTCACTCAGCTTCCATACCAGATTTTAAATCTTCCTAGCTTCCATTTCTTTAAATGTGGAGAAGTATTTGCAAGTACTTCATGTCATAGTCTAAATGCAAGTTCGGGGAGGGAGTATTTCTTGTGTTCTTTTTCCACAGATATTAATTGAAGTTACATMTAAATGACAGTGCTCACTGTTCAGGTTCACTGTTCAGGGTTTTCTGTTCAGGGACAAGGTGCTTATCAGGACCACTTTTCAACCCGAGTTGTTACTGCAGTGCTGCTAGCTCCACCACTGAGCAGCCCTTTGCCTACAGGTGGATATAGCAGAAATAACAATGAAAAGACATGGGAAAAAAATGGAAATGAAATTGAGGGTTTGATTTAATGAAAAGGTTAGGAAAGCAAGTGTGAGACCTGTGTGCGTTCTGCTGATTTAAAGCAGTTTAAGGTTAAGATGCAAATAGAAATAACCAATGCCTTTCTTCAATTGAGGAAACTTTCTGAGGAAATGCACTGTGAAATTCCCTGAGAGTGCAATAATTGAAAACGATTGCCGTCACTAAAATGACTGTCAGCTGTTACACATTCCATTTGAATTTAGTTTGGGGCAATGTCTTTGCCCCTTAGTATGGCTGTGACTGGACTGGGAGCCTATTCCTCGCTGAGGGTTGTGAATATTAACCTTTGTTAGATCTTGTAAAGATATTTCAGATAAGAGATTATCTTGAAGTTAAGAATACCTATCTAAATGGGCTAATGAGCAGAGATGAATTGTGCTATGCTTCACTGACCTTTGCAAAGGCAGAGTTTATTCAGTATTTACCTGCAAGACCTTAACGTGTCTCTGCTTATTCAATAAATGGAATACTGGCAGTTGCTTTCACAGTGGGTTTGCAGTTGGCTGAACCACAGGAATAGTGAGAACTTGCTAAAACTTGAAGACTTTAAGTTTCTTCTCAAAATCCCGTTTCTCCTTCTTGCCTGAAGTTTCAGAATCCAAATTAATGCTGAGGCRGACTCGTTCCTTGAGGACAGTTACAGACGGCTTCTATATCAAGCTGGAAATGGTCTCTTTCAGCTTGTAGTTCCTGTATCTCTCAAAATACCCAACACAACCTGTATTCAGGGAAGCTGTTCAGCACTGTTGATACTTCTCTTGTGAGAAGAAGGCTTTAAATGCCTTCATTCTCCCTCGGTGCACATCAGTGCCCACAGCAGAGGCACGAGCTCGCTGCCCCTTTTTGAGGGCTATCATGTGCAGGTAACAGCAGGGAAGAGGACAGCAATCCGTTCCTGCGTGCTGAGAGCTTTACTTGCATCAACAACCACTCCCTCTCAAACACTGAGCAACAGGAATATTATCTAACTTAACTGCCATGCTTCATTACACTAAGGAACATGTAGCTCCTAGCTAGTATTCATCACAGAATTTCTTTCAAACCATCAAATTAAGGAACTGCTTTGCTACAATGGTGGGTTTTTTTCTTTTTCTTTTTTTTTTTTTTTGCTCATAGGCAGAGAAAAGGAGGTATCCTGCTATCCTTTACCTACATTAACTTCTATGAAAGAGAAGATTCCATGAAGTGAAATTAATACTTCCCTTTCCCTTGGAAATGCATTAGTTGATTTCTGCCTAATTGTGCATCAGTGTGTTCAAAACCGCAGATTTGACAGAACAAACCCAAAATGCTCGTTCCCCTTTTATTTTAAAGGATTGCATCCAGAACTCATGTAGCTTAGTGGCCCAAGCCCAAGGGAACAGCCAGGGAGATGAGATGACAAAGAAGACAAAGTTGAGAGGGGAGGAAAGTTGTATATTTTGATGATATCTTTTGGATTCTCAACATCTCAGATGCCATGGACAGTCCCTGTTATTAATAAATATGTGCATTGTAGTGCATCTGAATAAAATAGGTATATAGCATTTTTAAGTTGGGGGATTCCAGAATCATTTTTTGGCCCAAGCTCTGAATTCTTGCTTTGCAAGTTATTTTGAAGGGAGGGGGTTTTGGCAGGGAGAGGAGGGAGGATTGCTCCACATTTTCAGAAGTGAAACAGCTTAAGGTGTCTGTCTCCGTATTTGGGCAGCTAAAACCAGTGCTCTGTCATGCCAGAACTGGCTCTGCTGTAGCCCCCAAAAGAGAGACATCAAGACCTCAAGGTAGTTGAGGTCCTCGTTAATGCATCATCACCTACAGCCTGGACTACTGCACAGTCTCCAGCTGTCTTGCTTCTATTTGTGGTAATGACCTCCTGAAGGAGAAATGACCCAAGGTATCTTCTTGGAGAAATCCTAGAGTCCTCTCAGGAGTTCTCTGAGCTCAAGTATGGCACTCACCCAGGGATACTTTGGAAGCCTGAACTGAGGTTGAAATGCAGGTTCCTGCAGTGGCTCTAGGTCGATGGCACTTCCAATTCAGAGACTTCCAGGAATGTTYAGCTATCTCAGTCCTTGCATTACACTCACGGCATGAAGAAGGGTTTCTAGGCACAGCTGGGCCTCTTGCTGTAAGCATAGGAGTGACAGAACAGTACTCTCAGAGGTTAAGTTTTGTTCTAGGTAGGAAACTAAGCCCAATGCAAGACAAATGAATTACAAATAATCATGCAGAGAACTGTTTTGCCTCAGATTTCTGGAAAGAATTTATTTCTCTCTAGCTTTATAGCTGAGTTGATCAGCCTCTTCTACAAGTCGAGATAGGAATACAGGCATTATAAATGATGAACCACTTCTTTACAGGGTAGGCACCAGATTCGGATAGTTATTATGTATTTTGCAAGCACATTGGTGATCCCTTTCCTAATGYCTAGAGTGTCAGATACCAGTGTGTTCTGACTGCAGTCTCTCACTTCTATAAAGGACCAGACCTATTATCCAGCTGAAGTTGCTTGTCCTTGTTTTCTTGGATTTGAATTCCTGTCCCCAGCTACAAATGGAAGTGCTGCTGAGGCCTCACTTCATTGGCTCAGTGACAGAGCACATCCAAATCTATGACACTGAACACATATTTTTAATCAGTTCCAACAGGGACATATAAGGTACTTAAGAGCAGACTTTAATTTTGAAGCATCATTACCTGAAGTATTATTTTTTCCTAATGTGACCTTAGCTGACCTGAGTCCCATCATGCTGCTCTCTAATTTCAAGAAACAGAGCTCTGCTTTACTGATTTTGTGCTTCTTGTCCCCAGCTTTATAATAGCCTTGTATTTGTTGTTAGAGTTACAAAGCTCTGCCTTAGTATAATGGTCCTTTTTACTGCAGAGGATACTGTGCTTAGGAAACATGCAAGCCCTACACATAGAGGCTTTGTTAAAGGAAAAAAAGAAAAACACAGGGCAGTTAGGAGAAAAAGCTCAGTAAAAAGCTCTTAAAGATAAATCATTTCTTGACGTTCCTTCCTCTGTCAGCATGATGCAAGAAGGAAGGCCATTAAAGAAGGTGGTTTCAGTTGCATGTCCTCGGAGKGCCCTGGATGAAGATGCTGTAGGTGGTGGTTGAACTTAGAGGCCTGCACATCTTTCTACCTTTTACTAATCCCATCAGAGCCCTGACTCGTGGTATGGAGCAGTACRGAGTAAGAACATTTACCTCTAAAATTACTTGGGAATTTTACCTGTTGAATTCCCTGGGACTGTGAGGGTATTGAGCAACCTCTTCAACTTTCRTACCCTCTTTAAGAAATGTGCTCTGGCTGGGGCACATAGGCTTTTCTTCAGTGGGGAACCTGAAAGCTAAAACTTATAGAATGGCTGAGGTTTCATGACAGGTGTAAGAGGGTGCAGCTGCTGGCAATTCTGTTTCTCCTCCTGCAGATCCTGGTACCCCTTCCACAAATCCTATCTCCTAACCTAGTGGAAAAACTGCCTTCTTGCACCAGCTCTGGTGCCTTTCTGCTCCGTGATAATCAAATTCTCACCAATTCCAATATTCTGGAAAAGGTGCCAGAAAAATACTTCTCTTCCTTGATGTTTTAATGTTTTGCCTGAATGTTGTGAACGCTTTTCAGATTTTGTAGTTAGAAGGTGCCAGAGCTGACACGTGAAGCAGAGGTATCACACGACCAAGTGGTACCTAAAGAGCTGCAAACAGGCAAAGTGGGGGGAAGCCCTGGAAGAGAAAGGGGGAGAGCAGCGGTTCAGTATCTTTAATCCCTGGCAAGCTGCTCACTCATCTCTGGTCTTCAATTATGCCCCAAGACAAACCGTAAGAGCGAGCTGCTGTCTCTACACCTCCCAGAAGAAGTTGCCYGCATGGGGTTTCAGTACAAGGAATTCTGACTTGCTGGCACCAACTTTCCTTGAGGCCGGTGCCCGTTTCTTGGTTCTGCTTTTGCTGTCTTAGCACTTGGTAGGAGCTGCTTTTACTGATGACTGATGCAGTTCTTCTAGCATCAGACCTCAGCAAAAATAACTTCCTGCTGACCTTTAAACCAGATTAAGGATTGGAGGAAAAATAACGTAATGAAAACACAGAAGTTCTATTTTGCCTTGATCATGACCATTTCATTTTATGTAAAATGGAAAGATGTTTTTAATTTTTGAGCTCTTGAGCTCTTTGAAGGTTAATTTCACTGTGAATTGTTCAGTGTTTCATTTTGAAAATGATTTTTTTTTTCCTCTTTATTAATGGGAACAAAATAACTACTGAACTCAACATGAAATTCACAATGATTTTGTTTTCCATAATGCTGAATTGAATCAATTAGTATTCTTTTGGAACAAGCAGGATCAACTCTTCATTTTTAAATATACACTTTAAAACATAGATATTTAGATTAATCAGTAAGGAAAGAACACTTAGTTAATGGTATGTAAATTTGTTAGATATGAATCCAGGTTTCTCACCCATTATTGAATCAGTGATTTATATCTCCTCTACCCCAATGATTTCTTGGATCCAAATGGAATAGTTATTCAGTAAATCTTTTCTTTTGTGCTTTAAATTAGCATGCTAGGACTTTCTAGATGCTGCTGGCCTACAAACATTCCCTGAATTTTTTTTTTTTTTTTTTTTTTTTTTTTTTTGCTATGAAGTAGTTTAATCTCCTTCTTGCATCTCTTTCCATTGAACAGCAGTTTAGGTGGGCGTGAGCAAGGCCTTTCATTTGAATTTTAACTACAACCAGTTGTTACTTTTCGCTGTTTGTTGTGTGTTTAGGCAAAAGTGACTGTGTGGACTGTGGTGCTTATCTATCAATGCTTGTTTGCCAGTGGGGCAGAAAGGGAAAGGGAGGAAAGATGCAAAACAGTAACTTTTGCTGCTCTTGTTCTTTCAGGCACATGTATGACCATGCTGTAAATATGTATCCGCAATTAATTAAGAATCCCAGCGTTCGAAGTGGAGTTCAGAGTTTTATGGCGTATGTATTAAGTTATTAGAAAATAAGCTATTTAAAATTTGGGTTTAGAGATTGATGGTTTTTCACTATTTTTGACCCTCTTTTTTATGGGCTATAGAAAATAAATGCTTACTTTTCATCTGACTGTATGCCATTAGTGTAAAAAAAAAAAAAAATTTAAACATACTTCAAGAAAAGCAGAGTCCTCAATTCTGTTTATTCAAGAAAGTTTTTTGAAACTACCATTATGAAGGGATAAGGCCAATGAAATCTGAAGCTTATTCTAGTCAATAGTCTTTTCTGAAAAGCTGGTGTTCTGAAAGTTATACTGAACAGTGAGGTCTCTTGGCACCTTAATCTTTTTAGCACTGTGTATCTTTTCCTTCCTCTCTTAGGCTTCTGCTTTGTTTGCTCTACTACTAAGAGAATTCTTTGCTAATCACAAGAGTCCTGGTTACCTTTTCTCTTCAGCTATGTAAATCAAAAGTAATTCTACTCAAATAATGCAGTTACACTGGTGGGAAATTACAAGTGGGAAAGGACCATGGCAGGGACTTGAGGATTCAGCTGTGATTACCAACCTTTCTTTTTTAATCTCCTTAGGTTTAAGTTTCCTTCCATTTCAAACACTGCTGAAAACACTTTAGTCACTTCTGAGCTTTTCCCATTTTCCCCTCATTTTGTGTTTCTCACATGACACATGGGGATATATATCTGATTGATTCTGTTGTTGTTGCGCATATATATATATTTTATATATAATATATATAATAATATATATAATAATATATATGTAATATATACATTGTATATTCTTTATATTATATATAATATAATATATGATATAATATAATATATATTTTTATATATACATATAAATGAAGACTACTTTACGGTAGCCTATTTGGCTAGAAGAAGAAAAGAAAACGCTGTCTCTCTGTTTTTCAGCCTTGCTGTCCCTTCTTGTAAAAAAAAAAAAAAAAATGAGGTAGCCACCATATCTAGGGATATATCTCCCATATCTAGGGAGATATTTTTTTCAAGAATGATTTGGCATCAGGTGCCACTGTATCCCCAGAGAAGTGCTGTAGGGGTGGCGGGAGCACTGCTGGAGGGCCTTGTAGSATTTTCCTATTGCCTGTGTCGTGGACACCTGCAGAACTGCTCTCTTTTATAGAAGTCTTGTTACCTGCTGCTTCATACTGAAGCCTGTAGCTCTGAGCTCTGCAACCATGTGGCTGTTTCTTGTGACATGCTKCTTCTTCTGGTTATTTTGAGAAAGTCAAGTCAGGCTGACTTCTGTCACTCATACGCTGCTGTCTGCTGGAAGAGTCTGCATCCTTGCCAAATGGATGCATTCTTTTTTTTTTTTGCTGCCATATGTGTTGCTGGATAGAAACAGAACTAGAGGCCAGAATCTGCTCCAGACTTAYTCTAGCAACTATGGTTTGTTTATGGCCCTGTGCCTACAAGCCAGAGAGAGAATTCTTGGGGATCCTCATGCTTTTGAATGCTCTTTCTCTAGAGTCTCTTCAGTTTCTTTCCTCCTGCTGTAAACATGGGTTCTTCGGCAAGTAGCCTTTTGACTGGATTTGGCCTATGGGATGATTTAATTTGGCATCCCAAGTTTTCYTCAGAGGAGGAGAGCAATGGCTGCGAGGCAGTGTTTGAGCAGCAGCAGCAGAAAGCCTTCTTTGCACTTGTACCCAGGAGAGGAATATAGGCACTTCAAACTTTATGTTTTATCCTAAAGTAGTCATTTACAGTGAGCAATTCAAATGACCTATCCAATGTTGGCTTATCTGTACTGAGGAGAGGAGGTTGCATCTGACATAGATGAGTCCCTCAAAGAAATGGTGTCCATCTCTGGTTTATGTTAATGGGATGTGTGCCAGTGGAACTGCTCCATTAGAGGTACGTGCATGGATCTGGACATGTACACCTAGAAGAACACTAGAAAGGGACAAATAAGGGACTGTGTTTGTCTCTTCCATACATTATCAGTTATACTCTAAAACGAAAACAAGAAAACCCCAACCTGTTTGTTCCTCTGCAGGAGACAAGATCAATGGACAAGACAACAAATCAGAAATAATAAAGATGACCCCTTTTGGAGGCATGCTGGCTATATTATTGCACAGCTGGATGGTCTGTACATGGGAGCCCTCGAGTGGGCTAAACTACACAAACAAACAGTAAGATTGATGTATCTGTTTTTTAGTAGTGGGGATGGGATGTCAAAGTAGAAGGGAATGGAGTAGAAGGGAATCTGATAATATGACATTCTACAAAAATTGCAGTGGCAATTCAGTTTGAATAATATAACTGTGGTGTGAGAGGAGAGGAATAATATAACTGGTCTGTGGTGGTGTGAGAGGAGTCCTCCTCTGAGATGGACTTGGAATCTGGGGCTGTCCCATGCTGGTGAGATTGGGAGTGGTTTTTGGATCTAAGTGCGAATGCTGGAAGGACAGACACCTGCTAAGGTGTCTGCTGTCATCCCTTCAAGTCTGTTTTTGAGCAAATTACCTTCTGGGCATAAGAGTAGCTGCAACAGCAGGAATCAGCAAGTTGGGAGCTTTTGTTCTTATTTCCAAGCATAAATTAGAATTTGGAGTGTGCTTTTCATTGCTCAGTGTCTTCTCCTTTTTTGTGTTCTCTGAATGTCCCATAATAGAAGTTGTACTGGAAATTGTAATTACGATGTTCCAGATCATCAACTTTTATGCAGCAGCAGAGATTCATTAATTCTGCTGTAGGTATAGTAATTTATAATGCTGCTGCAATATGTCTAACATGTTCCTCAGGAAACTGAGGATTCAAATAAGTGTGGTTGACTTTTTTGTATTGATTTAATCACTATCAAGGATGGCAGGGGGTACTGAATTGTAGCAGCTGAATTTTAGTAAAATACCCACCTCTTTCCTGTGTAGAACCTGATCTAGAGCTTTCAGGAATGGGAATCTGCTCAAACCGAGAGGAAAAGGGTGGCATCTGTTCCCAATAATAAAGTAATCCTTCCTGGTGGATCTGAATTGTAAGAAAAAATTCCAAGAAAGAACTAAATTTCCTTTCCACAACACCTGTATCTGGAGAGTCCTATGAAACTCATCATTTTTGATTTTTTTGACTAATTCAGAATCCTTTAGATTTAGGCAGGGTAAAAAGTGCTATCTTGTGTTGAGCTGTTGCCTTAGTGGAGACGTGTCCGATCTGCAGTGTCTGTTCTGTGGTAATTGTTTGTCTCACTGTGTTTGGTATCAAAAAGTATTGACCTTTGAAGTGACTCAGTCATTCTGGCCTCCTTTCAGTCGGGGCCTGTTGGATCTCATCAACGTGCTTTTGTAGAAATGGTACATTTAATAAAACTTCAGAAATGGGGTACAGGCTGAAATGGTTGTATCCTCTATTCTTGAATTATATGCAGTGATACCTATTTACATTGTCATAYATGCCTGGAGCAGATGGTGGGATTGCTTCCTACTCCTTTCTGAGCACCTTGAAAGTTTTTGGCTGGGGCAGTGGTGCCTATATCGAGCCCGTACCTTTTTAATCAAAGCAAAACGTCTTCCCCATCTGTGTGTTTGGCACTCAGGATGGTGCTAGGGTTTCCTCTGTTTGCCATAGCCAGTATGTTAATGTCTTGAGTATGGTTTGAGCAGTGGCTGGGTGCCTAGGCTTTTGTGTTTCCTTGGCATCAGAATGGTACGTGACAGCTTTGTAAAAGTACGTGTGGTTCCCTTAGCTGGATACTGTTCCATTCTTCAAATATTTCTAGGGGAATGGGCCACAGGATGCTATTTGTGTATCTATTTACTATTGTTACATCCCCTTCAGGATATAAAAAGCTCGAAGATTGMTTCTCCAGAGGAGGAGATGGATTCCAAAGTTCCTGACTTTAGTTTTCCCCCTAATGGATGCTTATTCATGGACACAGTGCACTCCTGAGCACCCAGTCTGTTTGACACAGAAATTGCTCTATCTGCCACAAATAACCAGGCCTTATTATAGACAGAATAGTTAGTGTAGTCTCTAAAGYATTTGATAGTAGTGCTAGTATATATTTTTTATTCCTGTATATATGGAGTATATGTTTTGAGGTGTACTGTTGCAGGTTCTTTCTCAAATCACATAAAGTTTGATGTCCTGCAGGGTTACTTTAGGTAGGTACTTCCACTGCAGACCTGCTTGGTCACAAGGTATATTTTGACCCTCTGTATTTTGAGTTTGATGTTTGCAGGTGTCATTAAGATTGATGTCAAAATCTGAATACATTTTCATGCTAAAGTGTGAAATTATTCCATCTGGTTTAGCAACATTTTTATAGCCCATAAACAAACCCAACCCTTCAGTTAAGACAATTTCTGAAGGAGGGGCACTCAATGAACATTAAGCCTTTTCATCTGCCTAATGCTCATCCTAGGCTGTGATTAATCTTGGGCTTGTCTACATGGGAAATTACTCTTGAAAAGGAGGTGTAAGAGTTTTAATCCCTACAAAGATTCTAGGACAGTCCTCAATTTGTACTTCCTTATTTTGCACGCAGAATACTCACACACGGGGAAATTACTAGAAAACAGTCTATTCTGTTATCCCAGGTAAGGGACTGTTCTTTAAAAACCAGCTTTTAAGGTTGGTTCTGTTACCTTTTTTAACTTTTCTGATTTTATTTGTCCTTCGAGCTGATGGCAAGCTTTTGACAGGAAAGGAAGACTCTGATGTTTGCTACCTTGGGGAGATGGCCCTAGAGAAGGTGCCACACATTCCAGCAGAAGGAGTTTTTCCTCTCACCATGGCTGTGTTGCTTCGTTGCTTGGCAGCTTAACTTATGCCCTTTGCTCTTCCTCAGGGTGTAAACCGTGCGTACGAGGAGATTTCTGTCATTGCCATGTGAGATGGGAGAGGGTGATTAGAAAAGATCATAATATGTCCTGCTGTGGACCCTATTTAACATCTTATAGGCTTCTCTGTATATTCTGGATCTCAGTTAATAGCTGTTTTCAAGCTGAAATTCTCAACCTGGTGAAAGATGCCTCAGGCTCCTCTGGGATTCCCAGAGTTGGCCTGCATTACAGGCATACAAATCTTCTGTTTGAATGCACTGGATGCTTCAGAGAAGCTCCATGTACCCTGCTTGTTGGACGTCTCTGATGTAACTTAGCATCAGGCAGCCTGTCCTAAAGAGGAAAAGGGTTATTGAATGAGTTACTGAATGAGTTCTAAGAAATAAATTGCAGGAAGATTTCCTTGTTCCTGAAAAAGCGGAATGAAGACAGAATTCTAAAGGGTGCTTAACAAGTTAGTTCTGTTTTCACTTCTCTAATACTTTGGCACGTTTGGGGAGCTGACAAGCTAATCTCACCCAGAGGAACACTTGGTTTATTTTGCTGCTTTATTCAAGAGGGTCTTTCCTCCCACCCTCTGGGCAGCCTCTGTGCTTGGAGTTGTGATGCCTTCCTTGTTTAGCACATTCCTTCTAGCTTAATGAGCACCATGGTAGTTGGACCKTTTTTGCCTATCAGGGACTGCATGACAGCACATAAAAATGAAACTTTTTTCCTTTTTTAAAATATACAGGTGATATTAGAGTGATGTTATAGCAGGGCCAGTGTGGCTACATGTAGATGTTGCCGTGAGGCTGGGTGTTACAGAGAAGGTTATGGAGTAATAGCTAATAAGGGGACGAGCAGAACTGTGATTCCTTGAGGCTGGCTGAGCATTCTCATACGCAGTTCTGCTTGCTCCTCTGGCAGTCCTGTTTGCCAGTCCCTTTTCCGCCTGCCTTTTCCTTAGCAGCTGTTTGTGTAAATTGGCTGTTGGGAAACGGCTTCTCCTTGATGTTTGTTCGGCTTGCAGTCCTTTAAATGCAGCTGGATCACACGTTGGGAGAAAACATGCTGAAACTGTGGCAAGGCTCTCGATATGGATTCTCATGAGTTCATAATTGTCAGGATATTTTAATAAATGATTCATACCACTGATTTGCTTAAACTATCCAAATATATATGTCTGGGTTTTTTTTTCTTTTTTTTGCTGTGGCCTCTGTTGCTCCCTGTCAGTGTTCTGATAGCAAAAAAGTGGTGAGCTAAAGCAATATAACAAATGTCAAAGTTTGCTATGCATTTCTGCTTTAAACGACAGCTGCTGCTAGGGCCTTCTGCTGTGTGTGGTGTTAGTTATGAGAATGGTTTATTTCTCTCACTTGTGTTGGTGATTATTTTGTGAAGGTTTAATTCCTTCCCTTGGGATATATGCACTAGAATTTACTTTTTTTTTYYTTYCCCCCCCTTCACTGATTCTTCTGTCTGCCAGAACAGCAGATGGATAATGCAGAATTCAGTCTTCCAAATAAAAAGTAGATGTCCCTGGATTTGTCACCTTTCATCTCTTCCATGTCATTTGACTCCCCTCTTCTGGGATGTCAGCTTTATGATTTAGTAAGAGTGATTTATACTGCAAGCAGTGTATGCATGTGCTGTATGATTATGTCCTATTCTAAAAATACTGATCATATGCCTACAGTGATATGTGTTCTGTCTTTTTTCCTTAAGCCTTGCCTTACAAAAGACATGGTGCAAGCCCAAATAGGAAAGAGTCAGAAAATTCTCTTAACAGAAGAGGTTAGACCAATGTTTATCATTTATTTTTGAAGAAGAGAAGTAAGAGAAAGTTCTAAAGAGCAGGTTATGCTGTGAGCTGTGACGGAGAACCCTGGCTAGCCCCAACCAGAAGGGATTTTGAAGGCTCTTGCTGAGTGCCTTTTGACTGACTTCCTCTGTTCCGCCAGTTCCATAGTGGTTTACTGTTGTTAACATACCTCATTTTCCACTTCTGTTTCCTTATTCTCAGCCATGAGGATACTTTAATATTAGTCTTTACAAAAATCTGAAAGCTCRCCTGGGTGTTTCTTAATTTAAGGCTTCTCAAAGACATTTAGATCAGTAAAAATCTTTTTAATCTTTAACTTAAAGGCAGCACCAGTCTGATTCATGTGCTGTTTGCAAAGGCACACAAAAGTCTTAAAAGTTGCTATCAGGGTCTCCGTTTTCCCTCAGAAATGTTGGTAGCAATAATGTCATTAAACTAGAACAAGAGCCGGGCTCTTAAGGATAATCAGAGTGCCCAGTTACACCCTGTGTTTTAGTATTTGGGTTTTGTGAACAGGTATTTATATAGAAGAGAAAATATAAGGAGTTCTTCTGAGAGTGAAAGAAAAACTAATTCTGCCAGCTAAGGTTGTATTGGTGCTTCTCTGTCTGAAAACTTTCCTGTGGTCCCTCTTTTCTCTTTCCCCAGCCACTGAGCATCTTTGATGTCCATTTTCTAAATGCAGTTGGAGACCTGCTGGACCTCATTCCTGCTTTATTTGAATATCCTGCACGGAGCGGACAATGCAACGTGGAGCCAGGAGGCCACGGGAAGTATCAGTGGGATATGGGTCACTGCTCTGCTCTCATCAAGGTGAGCACCAAAAGCTCCATTTCCAGCGACCTGCAGTGTCATGAGTCCGTGTTTCTGTAGTATGAACTGTTTGTTCCACGTGCATAGAGGGACCCTTGTCAGTCAAGGCCCTTTCACGTGTGCTCTATAGGTTGCTGGGTGCAGTTTGGCCCACTTGAGGGCAAGAGAAACTTGACAATTATCAGTGAAAGTCTACTAGAATTACTAAGGAATGGGAAACCATCATGGGGAGGAGAGCAGAAAAGTGAATTGTTTTACTGAGCAGAGTGAAAGCTGAAAAGGATAGCGTGAATGCCTGCAAATAAGTCAGAGAGGGTTGAGAATTACTTAAGCTGAAGGACGGTGCTGCCCTAAGAACAAATGGGTGTCAATGGCTCATGAATGAATAAAGTCTGGAAATCAGAATAAGATTTCTAGCTGTTAGCAGTGCTTCTCTGAACCAGCTTTGGGAATGGCAGTAACAAACCCCTTTAAGATAATATTTAAGTATCTGATGCATCATGYCCATAACTCACTTTTTTCAGGGTTGAAATTATCAGTTGCTAGAATATGAGGACCCCATGTATCCCAGAACAAMAATATTTGCTTTAACTAGACAAAATTTAAGCCTTTACCTAAAACAGCAGACTTCTGAGTTAACAACAAGTCTCAGAACCAGAGAATTGCTTTGGAAAAGATGCCCTATCAATATGTATTTGCTCTGCAAAATGAATTTGCTTATCTTTGCTTCTGTACTTTAAACCCACCCAGAGGAATTTTCACAGAAACAGCATGTTCTAAGTTAATGTTGGAGATGTTTGTAGAGAGCTGATTTGAATGTGCAAATACAATTATTCAGGAGGAAACCAGGGAAACAAAATGTATCATGCGACACAGGTGTCCAAATAAAAAACCCTAAGCTGCTTGATTTTGAAAAATAGCAATTAATTATTTGAGAACAGTACATTCTCAAGAATTATTCAAAAAGGTTTCAGAAATTCATTGTTAACTACACAATTAAAAGCACAAGAATCTGCTCATTCTTGAACAAAACAATTAATCAAGCTACTTACAACAAGTTGTTTTCCCAGTTTCTCTGGAGTATGAAACATGCAGAGTGTGGTAGGGCCTGAAAATTGTTCATTGTTCTGCTTCTGTTTTCCAGGTTCTGCCTGGATATGAGAACATCTATTTTGCCCATTCCAGCTGGTTTACATATGCAGCCACACTGAGAATATATAAACATTGGAACTTCAATATACTTGATCCAGATACTAAAACCATCCGTGTCTCATTCAGCAGTTACCCAGGTAAGGTGAAAAAGAAAGAAAGAGGGGAAAAAAAAGAGGAAAAAAAAAAAAAGTTAAGATATATTAGGCCTTTTTACTGACTTTTGAATATCTTTCCTGTAAAAACTATTGAACAACAAGAAGCACTGAGTTCAAACCTACCTTAATTCTTTCTTTCAGACACTGAGAAGGGAAAATATCTTTGCTTTTTGGGCTTGAATATGTTTTTGTCGTTGATTAACAGACTGCAGTTCTCTGAATAGTACTAGTTAAATATTCTACCACCTCTGGCACAGAAAAGCTGCCTTGAATTCTGCTTGTGTTGTCTGGAGTCATCTCAACTATTGAACTTCCTCTCACCTTGCCTACGTATGTTTAATCATAACTCAGTTTTGAACACTTCTCTTGAGCACTTTGGCATGATTCATGCTGTAATAGCATTAGTAGAGAGTGTGCAACACCAGCCATTTGAAATTGTAGAGATTTCTTTAGTGTTGGGTTAGCAAACCTGCTGCTGATTTCCCCTTCTTCCCCAACTTCTATAGAGAGTGCAGCAGAGGGGAGTGTTCTTTATATCCTTACTTCAGATGTTAGTAATACAGCCAGTCAGACTATTTATATCCTCCTTGAGAAGATTTGGCAACATGTAATAGTCTCAAGTTTCCTGGAAGAATGTTAGCAATTTTTTAGTGGTAATTATTTTTTTTAAGTGGTAAAATACGGACCATTGCTTTAAAACAAAACAGTAGAGTAGGACAGCAAATGAGGAATGTGGAAAAGCTAAAGCAAAATCTAAGAATGTCTCAGTGAGCTAGCGCTGCAGAGTTTTGAAGGTGAGATTTCAAACAAAAAAAGTGCTAAGTCGGTCAAATTTAAAAAATCTTTAAAGTGAAGTGAATGCCACAGGGGAGAGAGATTCTGAAGAAACTTTGCATTGTTGTTTGCAAAATGTGTCTTAATGAACTGCTGTGGTTCCCTTACTACAAAGCCAAGGAGTTCCTACATGGCAGGGACTCCTGAGACTGAGAAGCAGGTTYAGAAAGCCACTGTGTTCATTGCAATTTGAAAACGAGTATTTTTCTGTAGGGTTCTGATCCTTCTGAGTGACTCTCAAGAAGGGAACTTTTCCTGAGAACTGGGCTTTTTGCTTTGATAAAGGAGCAGGAGTATTTTGGTCAGTGCTTATTGAGCGTACAGCCTTTCAAGAGATCACGTTATCTCTAACTCCCCTAGAGGAGTTCCAGTCATTGCAAGGAACTTTGTCAAGTTCACATTACCTGATAGAAAGCCGAGGCTTGTGTCTGACTTGTCTGTCATTGACAAAAAGTCAGTCTGGGTCTGATATCTCACAGACAAAAATACTAATGAGGATACCATTATTCTTCAGGAGGATGTGGCTGTTTCCTAAAAGTATTTTGTACTGTACTGCAGATTCAGACTGGGAATCAGGATCATCCATGCAGAGCTCTTTAATGGGCATAAATACCACTGACTTTAAGCTGTTTTTTCTCCATTTTTGGACTCTTCCCATAGAATGAAATGCAAGACTTCTGATTGGCCATGCTGATCAAGAGCATGGCATGGAAAGGTACCTGAAAATCATCTGCTAATGTGTTGAAATGGTCAGGGTTAGTTCTGTAGCACTACTTAAAACTCTTGAGGGCTACAGGGAACTTCAAAGAGAYGGCTTATTGAAAGCCTTGCTTGTGCCAGGTGGACTGGGCAATGATGTGGTAAGCTTTACTTGTGTCAGGAAAGGTCAGTGAGAACTGTGTTAGAGAAGGCAGTTCCCATGGCCACGGGGAAATTTCAGACACCTGTGGTACAGGTGAGTGCACCAAGTGCACTCAGTGCCCCCCTAATTACAGAGTGGTATCGCACGCGCTAGACAAGCGTGACCCATTGAGTACAGCARACTACATTAGCTGAGGACATAGCCCACACGCTTGAGGTTTTCCAAAAGATGATCAGGCTCTAAGTCACTGGCCTGGTCATGATCTRGAGACATTATGCAGGAAGGAGGGAACTGGGAAATTCTTCTGTACTGTGCTGGGATGGAGCATTATATTTTCAGGGCATCTGGCCATAGAATCCACAAGTCTTCTTCATGGCTCATCTTGACAATTAATTTCTCTCTGTATATGAGCTCTGTCTCTTAATCTCTGTCTTCATAGCTACTACGAACTAGAAAGAAAGTCTCAGCTAGTAATCTTCCCTAAAAATTACCTCGATGATGTTAATGTGCCTGTGCATGAAGATGTTGACTTTTGGTTGGGAACAGAGATTATTAAAAGCGGCAATTGTTCCTTCAAGCTGGCGATGACACTCATTTGAGTAGTTAATAGATTTTTGTCATCCAGTAGCCTGGCTATGAAGTAATACTCTTCTGCAGTCCAAAGTTGACTCAGGAAAGCTTGAAAAGCTTTGAGGAGGCATTAGTCTTCTGAGAAGGAATGTGCCAACTCCTTGATTTCTCCTGGGGTCAGACCGTCRAACTGTCCAGATTGCTTATTTACCAAATTTCAACAGACTCATATGCCAAGATTAGTGTTTGTTGTGACTGCTGAGATGATCTAAGACTATTTGCTAACCACAGTGCACGTCAGCAGCACTTCACGGTGCAGCTGGAAGGCCTCGCGCCTCCGTGCGTGTGCGCTGGGAGCACAGGCAGGAACTGCAGGCTCCATTCCCGCTTCGCCAGYGGTTCCCCAGGTATCTGCTGGCAAGCGCCAACCTCCGTGTTCTGGTGTGTTGTCTCCCTGCTGCTTTCTTGCTTTTAGAGCAGCAGKGGTGCTAGGGAAGCACAGACAAGTGGAAATGAATGGAAATAGTCATCTCTGCTCCTGCAGAGTGATTCAGCTTCTTGCTGCCTGATCCTGCACTAATCCTAATCCTCACTTGAATTCAACTGCTGTTGATCTTGGCCTTTTCTACCATGGAAATCAACTGTGCAGAGCTGCTCCGTGAACTTAATGAAAAGGAAGAAGATCTGAGCTGAGGAGCTGAGCTGAACGCTTGTGCTCCTCTGGTTTCAGTGTCTCGTTCAAGTGTTGGGCCCAAGAACTTAATGCTGTGGTTGGTGAATCTATGCGTATCGGAGAGAAACTGTGTAGGCTGTGTGGCTGTTGCTTATGGATGTTGTCTGAAGTTATGCTTTTTGTTTGGAGGGATAAGAAATGCAGTAGCAGGTATCAGGGGAATGCTGTGGTTCTGCAGAATATACATGGCAAAACRGATAGAAAGCAAAAAAAACCAAAAAAAAGTCCCTGCTGTAGTCGCTGCTCTACATTGCCCCAGTGTCTTGGCAGCTCAGGAGACTGGCAGCTTCTCCTCTGCCATCAGCTGGTTCATGGGCTTTGGCCAGGCTCTTTGTTGCTTCCTTGCTCTCTCAAACATCTGAAGTTTGGGGGCAAGCAAAGAAGAGTATCTGAAGTGCCTTAAATCTGTGCTCTCTTCATCTCCAGTGTGGGATGAGCTATCAGCTAGTGCCTACCAGAGATGCACAAGTAGAGGTAAGGCAGGAGTTTGATCTTCATTAACTGATGATGGGTTTAAGAAAGGTGATGCAAAGACTCCCTTCCCATTGTCCTGGACTGTTTGCAGCTGGGGCACGGAGCATCTCGGCCAGGAGCTACTCCCATCCTGGTGAGGGGATGTCTTGACCTCATGACTCTGACTTGCAGGACTACAATACTGTCCCTTTCTGTACTTGAATGAGCACAACGACCTGACAAAATAAGAGAAAAACAAATGCTGCCTGGTTCAGAAACCAGCCTACCTTTGGTAACAATAGCTGCCAGGAGCGTGTCACCCCTCTCATGCTGTCCTGGGTGCCGGCCCCTGCAGACAGTTGTGCCTCTGATTTTGAAAAGTATTTTGCTTTGCTTGGTGGATTTATAGTGTCACGATGAAGGAAAACTTCACGGTTTTCCAGCAGCATTTTTCCAAAAAGTTCAGACCTGGAAGATGCGATCAGAAATGCTTGTGTTTGTTCCTGTGTAGGAAGAGTAAGGCTCATAGGAAAAAAATGGAGAGTTTTGCGTAAGAGCAGGAGATGGGGTAAGAGAGCAAACAGATAAATTGGTGAACTGTACAGAGACATAACAGTTTAGGTACAAGAYAGTTTTTAATTGCAGCAAATTCTCAAGCATAGGTAAAAAAACAAGAATGAAACATGAGGACACACTTTCTGATATCTCTAGGCTTCACATAGCTTTTATTGTTGCCTTTTTTTCCCCCTAGGTAAACCTGTGGTGTATGTTTAATTTCCTTTTGTCTCGTTGATGGCCGTGTCTAAAGTCATAATGGCATTTATTGTGTCTGGGTAATTGGGCTAGTAAAGATTGATGCTGGAGGGCACATTGTATTGTACAAGTACTGCAGGATAGAGGTTGGTGAGTACTAAGAAAGAAAATCCTCTTGCTTTGGCTTAGCTGAGCTTTGCAATTTGTTTGAATTGCAGAGTTGAAACTTCAGTTAATTCAGCATCATTCATTGTGTTGACACTTTTTCTGTTTTAACTCAGCTTCAGTTGATCTAAAAACATTTTAGCACTGGCACCCACATGAGATTGGCATTTGTTTTGTGTTATTTACAGTTTTTTGATGATTTTACTTCTGATATCTGTGTCAGCACTCAACTTGTTAAGCAGCAGCTCATTGGTGATGTGTCCCATGTCTTGTGCAAGATAAATAGGCAGCAGGCATGTTGAAGGTGTTTCACTTCATTGCATACCTATTTGAGGGAGAACTCTGCTTTTGCTGTGCTTTATTTTATTTAARGTTACTTTTTTCCCTGCTTGTTTGTTTGTCCAAGACCATGGGCTGGCAGGGCACTCTGCCTGTCCTATGCTGAAGTGTTCTTGGAAATCAGGAGACCATAAAGTAGTTTTTCATGGGTCTATTCTGATTTGAGGACTTGCGACTTGGAAGAGATCTGCTGTAGTGGAGCACTCCAATGCCTCTTCTGCACGGAAGAGGTCAAACCTTTCATGAAAGTCTGGGCACAGGAGGCAGAACTCTTATTTATTTATTTTCCTGATTCTCACAGGTTACTGACTTCGGTTTCTTTGCAAAGTGCAGTAGTGAGGTTTGCTGTGGAAGATTTTGTAGAGGAGCACAACAGCTACACAAAGCAATTGTTTGAGCTTTGTCCTTGCGAAGGCATATGCTGTCCAGATGTTTAGAAGAGAAGGCTTGAGTGCTTTATGCACTTTTTGATCCCATTAGAAACTCTTTAGTACRAGTTCAGGCTCTGGAGGACATCCCCCCCACATCATCCTCTGTTAATGTGGCCWTAATGGGGACCTTTCTTGCCCAAGTTGGCAGCTGCCAGCTTTGTAGGAGGCCGGGGAATCTATGGGGGGTTCAGGGGAATCGGGAAGCCAGCTTGGCTGSCAGCCAGCAGTAGTCCCATGCTGTCCATGGTGCCACAGGTGGCCCTTGCAGCTCTGTGATCCCCTCTTGGCATGGGAGCTGCAAATGGACCTGGCGTTTCTGCTGGCACGCAACCTGGAAAGGAAACCTGCTCTGTTACCCGTGCCCTGGTTGACTCGGTGGGGCTGCCAGGAGCTTTAAGGAAAAGCACAAGTCAGAAAGAAGAGGAGGTAGACCGTTACCTCTCTTTGATATGCAGGGCATGTTCTAGATGGAGGTGCCTCGTTCTTGCACTTGGTTCTTTTCAGGGTAGTTACACTGCAAAGGAATAAACTGGAAGACTCTGCTCAGCTAATTTAGTCCAAATCTGGAACTGGTGGATAGAAATCTGTTCATTCTGTGAAATATGCAGGGTGTTTTTTTTTTATTTTTAACCAAACATTTTCGTTACAAACAAGTACTCATCAGACTTTTAGTCTATGTAGCAAACTAAAGTGTAGGAATAAGATTATTGCTTTACATATGAAGGGGAACCTTCCAAGGGGGAAAGCAAGGGACAGAAACCTGAAGCAAACGCTCTAGACAGAGCGGGCTGTGTGTCCAAGGCATGACAGGCAAGTGCTGTGTGCTGGAGGAGGCTAAACCCCCTGGCAGAAGCTGCCTTCTCAACTTCAATATTTGTACGTTTCTCTCGCTCTATCTCACACAGAGTCTGATGTGTTCATAGCTTGGGTCTCTGTCTTGTTCACAGTGATAACAGAAAMTTTTGTATTGTTTTTTAAGGCTTCTTGGTGTCCCTGGACGACTTTTACATCCTAGGCAGTGGCTTGATAATGTTGCAGACCACCAACAGTGTGTTCAACCAAACCCTCCTTAAGCAAGTGGTGCCYGAGTCCCTGTTTGCGTGGCAGAGGGTCCGCATTGCCAACATGATGGCTGACAACGGCAAAACCTGGGCAGAAATTTTCTCCAAGTGCAACTCTGGTAAGTATAAACCATAGAAGAGAGGGTATCTTCCCTCCCCTGTGGTGCCCGTGCTATCCTCAAGCCAGATGTGCAGCTTTCTCCACTCCTCCCCAGGGACCTACAACAACCAGTACATGGTGCTGGATCTGAAGAAGGTCAAACTGCAGAAGAGCCTTGATGATGGTGCACTGTACATTGTTGAGCAGATCCCAACCCTGGTGGAATATTCTGATCAAACAAATGTTCTCCGGAAAGGTAATAGCTCCTGTAGTAGCTGGTGCCTTAGGAAAGGCAGCTGTTTGTGACAGCAGTTGGAGAACTCTGCTTCACACCTGGGAAGGCTTTTTGGGGCCCTAATACCAAGATGCCAAGTTAGGAAGCTTTATGTGAACGTAGCTCTGCTGCCACATCTGTAACTCTGTACTTATTTCTTTAGCCTGCTGTGGCAGAAGCGTGGTGAGCATCTCTATTTCTTGGAATGGTGCAAGGGAAAAATGGACTTCACCTCTGTCTTCCTTTCTTGCTTCTCTCTGATAACATTTTGTCCTGTTTTAGGGACTTATGGGGGTGGCGGTGAGGTCTCTCTGAAGCAGTGCTGAATAGCTGTGGTGCGGTGGGCTACTGGACTTGTTCTGTGAGTAGATGACTGCAAGCTTTTAAAGAAGTTTGCCATTAGATTTAGCCCCTTTGTTGACCTTTTCTGGAGCTATGTTATCTGGTGAATATTTGTTGTTCAACAGACTCCTTATTCCTTAATACCAAACTGATGGARAACAAAAAATGAATGATTTAGGCGGGTTGCTTTTCTCAAGAGCAACTGGCTGCAAGTGCTTGTCGAGTAGCTCAGCCTGGCGCCCTCCATGTCGGTCCCAAGATAACCTGAGCTTGCCACTCTTGCCTGGTCAAAGTGAGTTGKCTGCTTTTGCACCAGCTTCAGCTTTGCAGCTCTCTTTCAGGMATAAACCCAGCAACAGCTGGTGAACAAAGGTGTGTAGTGTTGTAGTAAGGCTGTATTTGAGGAAAAAGTAAGCATTTTCTTATATGGTTTTAAAAGTGGCTTCTGTCAGCTTKTCTCTTTGGCTTCAATAGGTAAATGAAAAACAAAACAAAACCAAACATGAATCTCTTGGGTTTCATGTACCTTCCTTGTCAGGTCAAGTGCTTTCGATGTGTAAGTGAAGAAAACCCAGGAATCCTGTAGGGGAGGTGGGGAGGACCAGATTGCCTCCAGTTTATAGCGGTGGGGCATGGGAGTGGAGCACAGTGAGGACGTTTCCTGATCGTGAGCGAATTGCTCGTCCCTTCCATCAGAAACATCCTTTCAGATCAGAAGCTGGGATCTCCATCTTCCCATCATSTGCCTCATCCTACTGCTCAGGGCTGCTGAGCTCTCCTGCTCGGACGGGCAGAGCGGGAAGGATCTTGTTTCGGAGAACTTGTGCCGCTTGCGTGGCCTCCCCCGGCCTGCACCCTCAYGGATGCGTTTCCTCGCTGTTCACCCTGCCAGACCTAACAAGCAGGTTTCACTGGCTCCTGTTGGCCCTGGGGTGAAGCCTCCCTGAGGTTGGATGCTACGCGTGGACCTGTGACACCTCCCTCCATTTAAGCAGATGCCAATGGGGGGCAGTCCCGTCCCCGCACACCCCTGTGCAGGCAGGGCTCCGCTCCGGCAGCGCTGCGGTGCCGCCGCTCTCCGTGCTCCTCCCTCGGGGAGGTTGGTTTGTGGTGTTGTGTCTGACCCCCAGCGAGTCCCAGTTCATTTCCTCGAGCCTCTCGCAGTCACATTCCTCACGTCCGGCTGGACTGGTGTCAATGCAAGTGTTTATCAGTGCCTAATCCTGGCACATGTGCTTTGAGAAGGAGCAGAAAGGCCAGGGCTTTGGGGAGGAGTTAGAGATGGGTGCTCTTCCATCCATAAGACCAGCTTATGGTGTATGCTCCTTGGATCATGGATCCAATCCAATGATGATCATGGATCATCAAGGGTCCAATGGATCCTTGATGCCGTGCCTTGCAAAAGAAACTTAGAACTGACATAGGTATCTGGTTTTGTTCTTGCAGGACTCCTGTGCCCAGATCCTGATCTGGGAGGTTCTGGGGCTTTTGCAAGCATGTTTGCTTCCTAAAGTAGTCTTTTTCTAGACAGCCATGTGTCATTTGTCTCAAACTCTTCTTTGAGTCTGGGCTCCTAGCCCTGCTTTGTAGACGTACCAAACCCTCAGGACAGAGGCAGATGGCAGCTCCCCACCTTCACTATGCAAGCCGTAGTCTGCAGCCACAGCGTTCCAGCCACTGCTGCTGCAGCCCATGTGGATGCTTTGCTTGTCTCCTCCATGTTCGTCCCCATTAGCTCTGTGGTTTCTATTTATCTACTTAAACCAATTTCCTTTCTCCTGCCCTGCCCCCTGGGATCTCTTTCTARCTGCTGCCTTGGGGCCCTCAATGGGGCACGAATGCCGGTCTGCTTAGGTGTTGCATCTTTTGAGTTCACTCTGCCCTCATCCCTGCTGTGTCTGCAGGTTGTTCCTGACCTCCCAGCAGTCTGTCTTRCCCTGCTGAGCTGGGAAGGGGAAAAGTGGTGGGAGGCCCTTTGCACTTCCTGCTCTTCCTTTCCAGGAATGCTGGGTGGAAGGATATGCCCTTTCCCTGTTCAGCTCCCAGGGAGGGGGGTGTGGATCGTGATGGCCACCGGCATCGGGGGCTGTTCTGCRGGTTCCCCTTGGAGCAGCTGCTGGGTGGGATGAGTCCTCGGGGTGGCAGCCTGGCTGCAGGCTCCAGTGGTGTCTTACCAGGAGTCAGACTTAACTGTTCTAATGACTGTTGCCAAATTTTACTGTGTTCCGGGCATATATATATACACATATATATATGTGTGTATATATATATATATATATATATTTATATAAAAAGCAGAGGTTTCAGCTTTTCTAAGTAACTAACAGCTTGGGTTTTGTCTCCGGCAGGTTACTGGCCTTCCTACAATATCCCTTTCCATGAAAAGATTTACAATCTCAGTGGGTATGCAACATACGTTCGCAAGTATGGCCTGGATTTCTCTTATGAACTTGCTCCAAGAGCAAAAATCTTCCGGCGAGACCAGGGCAAAGTGACCAACTTGGAAAGCATGAAGTACATCATGAGATACAACAGTAAGAATGTRCACTGTGGAGCTGACCTTAATAAAGCGGTGTTACATTTATTCCTTGGATTATAGTGATAAGCTGTATAGAGCAGAGCATTACCCATGCACACACAGAGCCAAAGGACAATGCAAGCTCACTGTTGAGGTAGGAGACAGCTTAAAACTGGTGCAACAGAAAAAAGATTGGGGTCCTGGCAGGGTGAGCTTGCTCAGGTGCGATGTCTGACCTTTCCAGAGGGCTCCTGACCTTCCAGGAGACTCGGGACTGCTATTCCTCAGTGCAGCTGCAGGTTCTCTCAGACTCTTCCAAAGCCATAAATCCAAACCATCAGTCAGGTGAGATCAGACCAGAAAATTTTGTGTAAAAACTGCAGGTCAGTTTGGTGATAGACTGATAAATCTGTTAGGCACTAAAGAGCTTTTCAGTAGCTTGGGAACTTTGCTCCATCAGTGGAGGCTTTGTGTGAAGGGACTAACTTGTTCTCTTCCATTTCACGTTTCTCCCCAGACTACCAGCATGATCCTTACGCTGAGCACAATCCTTGCAACACCATTTGCTGCCGAGAAGACTTGAATCCCTCTTTCCCAGTGCCTGCAGGCTGCTATGACTCCAAGGTAACGTACCCTTGACTGCAGTGTGTGTTGCAATGCTGGACCTTTGCTGTAGCTTGTTTGTGAACCTGTCGGGCTTAAAACACGTCTCCCTGCATTAGAGCAGTCCTGGCAGGGCCGTGTGGCTCCTGCCTGTGGCCTCTCCTCAGACTGGGCACGTCTGTGCAGCGAGTCCCCTGCAGTCTCCTGGCTCCGGTGCCAGGCCTGGCAGTGGGACAGGTGGCACCTTGTGCCACCCTTTGTCACCTGTCCCGCTGCCAGGCCTGGCACTGGAGTGGTAGGTGGCCCAGGGCAGAGTGGTAGTTGGCACCAGGATGGAGCTGGGGAGGAGGGCATGGGAAGAAGTGCAGCAGTGTGATGYTCATGGAGGAACTCCTGGCATTTGCAAGATAAACCTTCAAGCCTTGCAGCAGGGGAGCCCGCGAGGAGACCAAAATGAGTCTTCACATGACTGTCAGAACAGTGGTTGCTGCACAGTCCAGGGTCGTGTTCATGGGGACTATGTGGATGCCTCCCCAAAGCCTGCAGGCTGATACTGCTCTCTTCAGCTTTGCTTTTACAAAAAAATAGCTCTCTAGAGAGTCACCCTGCTCCAGGCCTTGCCTCTGTAAAACATCTTTGAGCAGTGCTTGGCGYGCGGCGCGCTCCGGCTGTGCCCTCGGCAGCTGCTTAAAGGGCACCGGGCTGGAGCAGAACGGGGCACTTGGTGCAGGGTGAAGGAAGTGAGTCCAGGGAAGAGGCAGAGCCGGCCACATCTGTTGCCAACCCTGAAGGCCAACTCCGAGTTTGTGACCATGGAGCAGGCTGCGGGCCTCTTGGGAGACGGAGAAGGAGCAGGGCAAGGGGCCGGACAACCAGTGTGGTTTTCTGCTTCCTTTATCCCTTCCTGAGCTACGTGGCAGTTTCCAGGGGCACAGGGCAGGTGCTGAGCACACAGCAGTGCTCAGACCCTCCAGGTTGCAGCCTGAGTCCTTATGAGGAGACCAGTCATGAGGAGGGTGGTCCTGGGGGCTGACGTGTGAAGTGCAAAGGCCGGGGGCAGCCCAGACAGCACTTTGCTGCTGCCTCTGCCCCTCAGTGCCGGCTGTTCTGTGGCTGAAGATGCTTCTGTGTTGGGGAGGAACCTTGCCTGACCAGCACTCCTTTCCCCTTGCTCCATTTTTTYCCCCTTGCTGTTATCCAGCCTCCCAATGCTGTTGCTGCTCTCTGGGATGTTTGGGATGGTGCCGTTTTGCCCTGCCCTCAACCTCCTGTCCTCTCTTACAGGTCTCAGATTTCCGCCTGGCTTCAGCTTTCACAGCTACTGCGATCAACGGCCCCCCCGTACAGGGTGGGCTCCCTGTCTTCACCTGGAGGCGCTTTAACCAGACGCGGCACCAGGGCCTGCCAGATTCGTACAACTTCCACTTTGTCACCATGAGGCCAATCCTCTAATATCGGCGTTGATATTCCAAAATGGGATTATTATTATTTTTTTCATGGAAATTTTCATTTGCTTGTGTAATAAATTTACCAGGATGTCCACATACCTGGGCCTCACCTGCCTTTCCCTGTCCCACCTGCTGGGCATGTTAGGCTCAGACTGGCCTCCTGCTGTGTCTGTGGTGACGCAGATCTCCTGGACTTCTTGGGTGGCCATTGGTTTGATCAGGAATGATGGGAAGGTCATGTAGAGGTCTACCAGGATGGCGCTGCCTCCTGGTTCCCTGAGCCATTATCACAGTTACTCTGTGTGTGAATGGCTGTGATTGCACCAAGCCATCTGTGGGAGCAGGACCTGCCTTCTGGGATGGGCCAGGCCTGTGTGGCTTCATTTTTGCACTTGGCTTGCTGCTCAACTCCTGAGCAGTGTGGGTGAGAACATCCGTGAATGTCCTGCCATCCAGGAGTGCTGCTAGCAAACCAGGCAGCCCGTGACACACAGCACCCTGCCCTCCGTGGCAGATGGGGGTCGCTTTGTTTGCAGGGCACTGATTCCTGTCGCTTTTGCAGAATTTCTGTTGTTGTCTCCCTTGAGTCGTGTTGGGCTTTGACCCACAGTGAAGGGGCCCATAGGACTGCCCGGTGCTTTCCACAAGCAGCTGGGTGTGTTTGGAAACACTGCGGGCTTTGTGTGTGCATATGGGCTGTTTTTGTAACTGACCTTTCAGCTTTTCCGTAACTTCATCTTGAATTCTTTGGGGGAGATTTCCCCTCTAGCGGGTGCAGATGGTTTTGCAGTTGGTCCCCTCAAAGGCTGAGTCTGTGCATGTACCTGAGCTTGTCTGTGTGACCTTCTGCTAGCCCCCTGCCTTGGCGAGGGGCTTTTCTGCCCACTTCCTCAGTCATGGAAGGGGCACGGGCCTGTGGCAGAGCTGTGTCTTATTAGCTGTATATTTGCATCAAGGAGTCATTGGGCTTCTTTGCGCTACATGTTGTCCACATAATTAATAGAGCAAAGCAAAATCACCAGCTCCACTCCGGGCCTTGGCAGTCCACTCTGAACAGTGCCCATGTGGAAGGTGAAACGTGTGCCATTTGGGGGGCAGCTCTTGCAGTTTGGGGGGTGGCTCTTGCTCGGGCTCTCGACATGCAGCTTGTGCCCTGGCCCAGGGAGATCCCCCCCACTGCCGTTGGGCTGAGGCCCTGCCCTGACTGCCTCAGTGGGKCTGCCCAGGTGGAAGGAGAGCGGAGGTTATGGCAGAGGAGCAGCTGGGTGTGGGGAGCGYGGGCCAGCAGGGTGTTTGCTGGAGCACGGGGAGGTGAGTGCGAGAGCAGGGGCAACATCTGGGTGATGAGCGGCCCTCCAGCCCCACAGCCTCTCCCAGCGCCAGGGACACCGAGAGCGGGCAGCCCTGCCGAGAGACCCGYGGAGAGCCACAGGCTGCCCCTCGTGAAGGGCCGTGGAGCTACACGGGCTCTTCAATCCTTGCTCCCTCTGCAGGGGTTGTTGCCCACAAGTAACAGAAACACAAAGTCCTCCTAGAAGCAGAGGGCTTGTGGCAGGAGCTGCCCCCTTTTCACACCCTGTTTTTGTTTCCCCTGGGCTTTCTGCCTTTTCGTGTTTCTGAGGCTCGGCTCTTTTGCACRAGGGTGAGAAGTAGCTGTGAAGAACAACCCCCTACCTCTCCACTGCAGTAATAAAAGGAAATGTTACCTGARTGACAAGCAACTGACAAAGGCTACATGTCACCAGAGCAAGCCCAGCCCACCCCGACTGTGTTTAATCCGAATTTAATGGGTTTATCTTTTTCACCTGCCCCCAACCACCTTTACAGCAACAGCAGCCCCCGCCACCCTCCTTCCCTGGTCAGCCTTATGTGTCACGCACTGAAAGGCCTCAGTGCTCCCTGGCGCCAGGGCCACGGCCCTTGGAGCAGGAGGGCACCAGGGCTGCGCTGGCGTTGCAGCCCGGAGCGCCGGGGAAGGCTCCCATGTGGTTTATTGGTTGAGTTGCTGCCATTCTGCTGCTCCAGCTGCTTTCTCAGCCTCTTGCTGTTATTTCAGAGCCTCCSTGTACCTCAGAGTAGAAGCAGCTCTGCTCTCCGCCGGTGCAGTTCGTGGCAAGCAGTTACGCTCTGAGGCAGCACTGAGTCTTTCAGCCAGGCTCGCTCTGGAGCATGAGGGAAAGGGAGGCTGCAAAGCCCTTTCCTACTGGCACAAAGTGGAGCTGAAACTCGGCTCTGGGGGAGAAGAGCCCCTCGGCTCTGGAAGCTGGGGGCGCTGCTGGGGGGAGGGGGGGTCAAAGCGCTAATGGTGAATGATGCAGTGAGGAGCAGGAGGCAGGTCCTGTACTCGGCCTTTCTGCAGAGGTGGAAAGCGGCTGCCCAGGGGCAGGCACCAGCAGCGGCCTCTTCCCCAGGGCACCAGCAGCGGGCAAGTTACTAGCCAGGATTTTCAGCCATGCTGCTTGGAATCATCTTTGGAAGGCAATTTTCCCAAAGCCGASGGTGCTGCTCTCAGCTGCTCCCGGGGGACGGCTGGGAGAGCAACTYGGTGCCGGTGCCTTCCAGAAACACCTGGGAGCCGCGTCCTGGAGCAGGGTGGTGACAAGCGCGTGACGCGGAGCCCCTGCCCCGGGTCCCAGCGCTCGAGAGGAGGAAACGCGCTCCGCTCTCGGGGAGCAGTGACTGGAACTGAGSAGAGATGACTCAAAGCGTTAAAAACCCAGTAGTTTATTTCAAAGTATAAATTTCAGGCTCGTCAGACAAAACCCCACTACAGTTAACACATACGCGCACTAATCTACAGGACATACAAAAATGGGGAAAGCTCAGAACGGCCCAGCGTAAACTGGACARTAATCAGTCCTAGTTTATTTGTATTTACAAGTCCAGCTGCAAAAGAAAAGAAAGAAAAAAAAATCAGACCATCAGTTTCCTATAAGGGATTTTGCACCTTTGAATCTTTTAAYGGCCAATAAAACTACTCAAGCCAAACGTAAATCCCCCAACACTACCACTCAGTTATTTACAGTGATACCTCATTAAATTAAGACACACTTCAAATTATGTATTTATACACACACGTGTATATATATGCATATATATATATATATATAAATAGAAAAATAAAAAAATGCTCAGCCAGCACAATGACGATGAGAAATAAAAATGCATTTTAAAGGGTACTTGGGAGGGATGAAAAGATCTGTTCATTCACATTCTCTTGATTATCTTTAATTTTTCACTCGCCCCTCAGAAGCTGTTTGAAAGAGAAAATAGGTTTTGCTGGCAGCACTGGTTCAGCTGCCACTGTCATTTGGCCTCCTTTCCCTCCAGTATTTTCACACTGCTCACCTGTACCCAAACCAGCAAATTAAAAAAATATATATTTACTATATCAAGCTTTTATTTAAAAAATCTGGATAGATATTTGACTAAATGAAAATACTAATGAGTTTATAAGAAGGCAGAATCACAGCTTCATTATTTTGTACAGTGTTTGTAATACYTTAATACCGGGGAACGGCTGGGGAAGAAGAACAGCTCTGACCTGGGTCCACACAGAGCAAGGATTCCAGGTAAGTAAGTGGACACCTAAGACAAACTGCACCAAGGAAGGGGCAAGTGACTATTTCCTTATCGTACACAACTGCTCAGCTCCTACTATCGGGYCAAATCTTGTTCCCACTGAAGGCACCAAGGGCTTTGCCAATGTTTTCAAGGGAAGCAGGATAAGACCCCTTATGTTCGCAGGAGGACRCCACGGGCACTGCCAGCCTTGCACCAAAAGCCTCAGGTGGGCGAGTAGCTCGGTGCTCGTGCTCGGGGCTCTAATGCAGCAGAGGGCAGCGGGAGTAACGGGCAGCAGAAATTCCAGCCTTAATTGCGACTCCTTGAGAAGTTGGTTGGAGTATGGAAATAAACACAAGCTTGGCGGAAACAGTCTTTTTATGCTCACATTTCTTTGGGTCGCCACCACCGCTGCACTAACATGCACCACAGCTACAGGCCGCTTTCCTAGGGTGGAGTTATGTGAATTAAATACCCGATAAAGCTTTTTTAGACATACTTTGAAATGAAGGTGGTCAGAGAAGCTGYGACTAGGACAAGCTCAGTGGGAGTGAAGGGCATTTTGCTATCAATGCACTGCAGTTAGGCCAGTTTCAACCAGAAACTGAAGCAACTAAAAACGTTTTTAACCGGACATCCAGATCTCCATAGAGAAAACAAAATAAACCCCAGACAAAGCAGAAGGCAAATGAGGATGGAAAACACAGCTGCAGAGCCAGCTTCAGCTCTGTACTGTGTCAGGTACCCAGAACAAGAGCAAAACTCTAAGCAAGGGACAGCTTTCCACAGTGTACTGAAAAAGGGATGGGAAGTACTTGTGTCAAGTGCAGAGTTGAGACTACAACCAATTGGAACTAAAACTCGTGTCCCTTAAGAAGCCACGTGGAGACTTCTGGCATATTTAAAYACAAGAAACCTCCAGCAGCAAACCTTCACCAGGGCCCAGGTCTASGAGCTCCTAGAGCACGATAACAGCCCTGTATTGGGCAATCTAGCATGTTGGGCTAATACTCAAACAAAACCCATTAAACRAAAACAGTTATGAAATGTTTGTTGCTAGCAGAACTTTAGTTCCTAAAAATAGTTTCAGCATTCCTTGGAGGTGAAGGATGAGGTTCAAGCAATACAACATCCCAAGTTCCCTAGCCCACCAAAAGGTGCCATTCTGGTTAAGGACACTGAGCTGCTTAATGTAAGGAACCTTTGCAGAGCTCTATGGCACCATGCAAGTAATTCTGCAGAAATGTCACAGYGAGGCTTTCTGTGCATCAGCGAGCTGAGCGCCTGCTACCTGGAAGGTGTCCGAACCGATACGGGCATCTCAAAGTCAAGCTACAGTTTGGATTGTACTGTTGTCACCAGCACTTAGCTTAAGATCCTGAAAGCTCTGCCAGGGTGAAACAAACGAAAATTCTGCTTTCACGCTTACAGTTTTGATGGCTTCAGCAGGCTTAGTTAGTCTATCCACACAAATCAAGTGCTATCTGCCATGTATAGTGGATAAAGAAAGATGTGTTAAATGAGTCAGGTTTTACACTGCCTTGCAACCACATCCTTCATTAATAAAGGAGATATCTCCCTCCAAAGACACAGTCTACAAACCTGCTGAATACAACCCCGAGCACCCCAAGGAACAAAACCTCCACTGAAAGAAAACCAGAGTTAACAGCAACCCCCCCTTCTCCCTCCTCCCCAGCAAGATGGGGCCAGTGCAACCATGGCCCAAAAAGCCAGCACAAATCTCAGAAATATTTGTGTGTAGCTTGCGTTGGAATCACAAATAACCAGAGTAATAGGTTGTTTTCTAATTTTTATTTTAACTTTGAAATTATGAAACCTCATTGTACTGATATGGCCTCTCAAAGGCCCTTTGGTACCACCTCAAAAAACACATTAAAAATTGCCCGAGGACTGAACAGCCATCAGCTGGTAGAAACCACCCGAAGCCTCTACCACAGAAAGGGCTGTGTAAGGATCCAATTTGCCATAAGTTGACAAAATGCATTAAGTGATTTCTGAGCCTTGAAAGAGGCAGATAAAACATTTAGTTAATCACAGAAAAAAAAAAAAACCAAGGCATTATTGATTATTGGCACGAGTAATACATGGGCAACTATTACTCCAAGGAAGGGTAATGCATCGCTCAGACTTGAGATTCAGTGTGAACCTTCTCCCATGATAGTTGAGTCTGCACAAACGGCTCGTTCGCTCAAATCACTGAAATTGCTACCGCTTAAACGCGAGTTCCGTATAGAGAATATCTGTTACTCACCTGGCAGAAGTGAAAATCCTACCTACATAGAGAAGCACAGTGAAACAGTATGGACAAAATTCCCTTTCCTTCACTGATAAAAGTTCTCAAAGGAAAGACAACTAAGAACCCATAGCCTCATAGTGTATTTCACCAGACATGTTTGGGGGCTTATTTTTTCCTGCCCTTTTCAACCATGATTGATATTTGAAAACATCTCAGCTTTAAGACAGTAGAATTGAAAAAAAAAAAATTACGTAATTTTGTCACATGGTGAAAAAAAAAAAATCCTTTTCCTTCCAAATTTTGTTCGGTTCTGTTGGGCACCAATGACACAACTGTCTTTGTCTTAAGAGGTGCTGAAATGAAAATGTTTCATATCCTTTCTTACCCAAAGCTGCTGTATCTGTTTTTTTTCGGAAGTAAACTGCAACATGACAGCAGGACAGGGGGCAAATATATCCCTTTTTTTTTTTTTCCCCTCAGCTCAGAATCATCAGGAAAGATTCCATTAACGCTTGCAGTTGCTCCCAATTTTGGGGCCAGTGTCTAGAACAATTTCAAAACCGCTCTGGGGGTGTCAGCTTCGTGCAGAGGCCGGCAGTGACCGGGACAGGAAGGGGCCTGGGAAGCCAACTCCGTACCTTGTTGGATGGCCTCAGCATCCAGACGGGGTGAAATAGGCAGCAGCTTTCGTGGTGCCGCATCACAGAGGTTTCTTCTTTGGCTGAAGTGCAGCATAGGCCTTTCCCAAGAGAACAGGGAAAGGCTCTGGTGGGAAATACTGTTTTTATGCTTAATATTCTTCACAGCAGAGAAATAACTACTCAGGAATTGCAGTGAGGAGTGCTGAGTTATACTACAGATGAAGATGAATCCGGCACCAGCAGATGTTACACTTCCTGGGCTTGACACAAATACCTAATTACTGTGGGCAGGAATATGAAAAGCAGCTATAAAAGGCAAGAGGGATAAAGGAAAAAGAACTCCAAACGAATAAGAACACCACAATATATCTGGCTACATTTATTTCTGAAATTACTCTTTAAGGCACAAAATAAAACTAAAAAATAGGGCTGGATGTATAAGACAGGGGCAGAGAAATCATCTGAGTGAAGATGTGAATGTAGTCCCTACAATCCAGTTTCAGATCTGACCTGGAAATGCTCCCAAGACCTGTGGGGGAAGATGGAAGAAAACAAAAAAATGCTCTTATTGRGGAGAGGTAGGAGGTAGTGGGGTTTGGTTTCCTTTTCCTTTTCACCACCTCCCAATTCATACACATGTTCCTGCCTTGGCCAGACTCAAATTTCCTTCTCTCTCCCCAGAGAGCCGATATCAGTTTGAAAAATGAGATCAGACCACTCAATCTTCCAGTACAGGAGTCAGACCCTGAATCACCTTTAACATCACAGCCTGCTCACAGAGCAGGGGGCAAGAGGCAAAGCTGTTCTTGCCCTCACGTCAGAGCCTTTGTAGATACGACTAATGGATATGCTCTGCTCCGGACAAACTGCAATTTGTTTTGTTCCTGCTCTGAAGCAGAACCCCGGACGTCCAGGGTGCCCTTGGATAAAGGGYAGGTAGGTATCTAGGCGGAACCAGCTGTCATGGAAGGGAATATGAAATTTTCTAACAGCTCATGACTTGAGCTACCCAAGAATAGAGTTTCTCTTGCTGCAGGCGAGGCTTTATTTTTCTTTTGGTTCTCAATGCATGTAGTGTATCACACAGCTGTTCGAAGTAATCCTGCAGTGAGTGGATTTAACAGTGAATTTCATGCATTGGATCGAACCTCCCAAACCGGGGAGATTCTTGGTAGTGGGACACGTTTAAATGCTCTACAGGTCTCTAACTGCTCTGGGAAGAGATCACATCTGTGGACTGAGGGTCACAGAAGGGTCCAAAACGTCCATAGATGTCCTTAGCCCGGACTGCAAAGTAGTATTTGCTGCCAGACACAAACTGAGTAAGAGTGCATGCCATAGGTAACGGGAGCGCCTTCACTTCCCCTATCTTCTTCCACTGGGAGGGCATGGTGGCACTTGGGTCCTCGTGGTAGGCGTAGAGATGGTAACTGTCCACACTGGCACAACTCCGGTCCACTTCCATGACACTCCAGGACAACACGATGCCGTTTTGGCTCTGGACCCGGGCCAGCTTCAGCTGTGGCTTCTGAGGCAGGGAAGTGTTGGCAGCTTCGGGGGGCAGGCGGGGCGGCTGCGGCGCCTCCGGCAGCGGGGCGGGATGTACGGGCCGAGGTGGCTCCTAAGCAGCGTAACAGCAGAAAGGGAAAGGTTAGAGCCGATGGCAGCGGCGCGGGCTCTGCTTCATCATTCCCGAGGCAAATGGAAACAGAGCAGCCCATGCCACTCAAGCCTGCAAGTCCCGCACAGGCACAAGAGAGCAGCAGCAACGGGTGAGAAGGGGGAGAACAAGGATGCAAGAAGTTCTGATTATTCACAGTTAAATCATTAGCTGGACAGAATATCATTGTCACAGTTATTTTCCCTATATTTTCTTTACTTCCCCACGCAAGAGGCAATGGATTGTGAACAGGGCCTTTTACCAAGGCAGGTTAAGGATGAGTTTGATCTAATCTATGTTCAAGCTGCTCTTCCCACTCTGCCCCCAACACCACAACTTATCAACCCTTCTGAGAGGCTGCTTCTCAGGCAAGGAGCGGGGAAACGGGCTACAGTGCATGAATGTTGTTGCCTAAACTCATCAAAAAACCTCAGCCTCAGTTTCCAAGTTTTCAAATAAGGGCAGAAATGAGGCTTTTCAATGAAAATTTTTAGGTCAAAAACATTCCTAGCTATCACTTACATTAGTTAAGATGGATTTAGGAATGGGGTTAGAATGAGTATGAAATTTTATTGTTCTTCAGGCCAAGGGCCTTTCAGGGTAGAACTTGGGGTAGTTTTTGTGCCCTCCAAGTTTTCTGTGTAGAACTTGCAGGCTTTCTTTTCAGTATTTATCCCCAGGGTGTGCATAAAGCTGAATGGTGTCTAGATTCAAAGAATGGTGAGCRACCTTGTTAGTCATACATGTATCATCATCATGACCTAGCTACATGACATGCCGCTATTCCACAATTCACCCTAAGAAACCACCTGAGACACTGATGCAATAACCGTGGTGGGTAGATTCAGACTTGCTATACTCACAGCGTGCACTTGCGGCGGTCGGTGATGCACCGTGAGCTGAGGTGCTCCAGATCCGAGAGTCAGTCCGTTGTTCACAACATAGGCAGTTGTTTGAGGCATTCGGACAGTCATGCCTAGGAAGGAGCACAGTAAATATCTTGAATGTTCAATATTTGTGATCAGTTGGACAGAATACTGGAAAATCAATTCCTTGGYCCAGCTGGATGAAACCAAATTTTAAAATGACACTCCTTTCTTGAGCAGCCCACAAGCAGAGAGATTATGTAGTGTAAGAAAATAAAACCAATTCCCTCTTCACTGAAGCTGTGAGAGTGAAGGTGTTCTATCTGCAAGAGGACTGATGGAAACTTTAATCATAGCATAAGAAAGAAACAGATGGAAAGGCTGAGAAATTTAAGGAGCCTGAGTATGAAAATAAAGTTAAATCACTTCAGAATTCAGAAACATAGAGATAAATGCTGCTGCAGCAAAATATTATCAACATCCAGTTGCCAAAAGGCTGCACTGTGTACAGCACAGAAAATGAAAGATTGAGCCCTTGATGAAGAAGTTGGTCCTCCCTCTCAGACGAGAGCCTGCTTTGGATGCCAAGATACTCACAAAAGACACTACTACATTCAAAATCACAGCAAAGTGACCTGGCTGGCAGTATTAAATGAGAGAAGAAAATTGTCTGGAATATAATATCCAGAATTTCCTGTATTTCTATCCAAAAATAAAAYATCCAGGCTAATCCTGTAATTATACAAGATATCTAGAATTTAATAKATTTAAGATATTTTGAATTTAACTGTTACAAAAATACACTGATGTCTAAAAAATACAGGATCCACAGGTCACATAAACACAGTCTCAAGAGCATCGGTACAGGGGAAACATATGCATAGCCATGTAAAAATAGCCATGACACATAACGGGAAGGGTTGGGGCAGAAACTAAAAGTTTAAATCAATCACTCAAGAGAAAAAAAAAAATAAGCTACTGTACATCTTTGAGGTCCTTACTGTTGACATACAGTATTCATCTCAAAAAAAGTTTACCATTGCAGGAAGATACCACTTATGTCTACAATGTCAAGATGAATTTGCTGGCATCTGAAGTCAAGGAGACTCAATCATATATTCATTTCTGACAAATCTGATAAGAAACTTCACCTGCCTAGGCTTAATAAGAAAATGCGCTGCTACTTCAAAGCAAAGAAATCAAAAATTGTTACAGAATTACATTAGGATGTCTTATTTACACTGAGTTTTGAGACAGAAATTGGACATGATTCACTACATACGTATATACTCTAAACTTATCTAATTTCGAAAATGTCTCTTACTACCCTTTTAGAAAATATCGGTGCTCATTACATTAACTTCTGCTACTTTGTAATGTATTTGGCATATCATCCAGAGATGCACAACTGGTCGAATTAGTGCCTGAGATTACTTCATTCCAGTTTTTCCTCATCCACATATCTGCAGGAAGTATGATTTCTTAATAGCTCGAGATTTTCCCAAGTCTGCAAGCTGGAAAAAAAAGCCTTATCTCTATAATTTTGGGATAGTACTTTCAAAAAACCCATCCATCAGGCAGCTTGGGCTGTGCTGTAAAGTGTACAGAAGAAAAAGTCTCTTACCTCCACTCTGTGGGTTAACTGGCCTTAAGCCTGGGTTTGGCATGACAGCTCCTCTTACTGGATTCTGGGCTGGTGGAGTATGGAGCGTGGTATAGACCACTTGGTGGTTAGCAGGCGCTCTGGGAATGGGAAGTTTTGCAGCAGCCTGTGTCACTGGACGATGTGTTACATTCACTGTTGTCGGAGCTGAAAAGAGAGACCGTAACATAGGAAACCCAAGACACTGGTTAGATATCCCTACTGCAGACTGCATATATCCTTTAGAAAGCTGCCTCAGCTGAGGCACACAAAATAAAAACTGCCTCCGTGAAATCTGCTGCTTTTGATAATGCCTGAATGTAGGAAACAGCCTAAGTAACTAGCAATTTTTACATAAAATAAGCATGTGGGCATATATACAAATGCCAAACAAAAAGACAAACAYGATACCCAAAAGAATAGTTTTAGGAGAAAAAAGCCATTATTTGTTAAGAACTGCGGGTGTCTCCAAAATTTCAGATTTCTACAATGACTGTATCTTACCCACATAAAGAAATTTCCTGACTGTCACAAAAGCTAGAGGGAAAATGGAATTGACCATCAAACACAAGCTAGTTAGTACAAGGCTGTAGAATATCTCACCAGTAAAACAAGTCTGGTGCCAGCTGGAGGAGAGAAAACAAAACAAAACCAAAAACATCCCCAAACCAGACTGTAGAAAAGTAACATTTAACTAAGGATGAAATTTGACCATCAGGCCTTGTCACTCCATGGGCAAAAGGATCAGTTATCAAGTGCAGGTGGACAGGATATGGGATGACTTTGCTAATTCTTTTTTCTTCTGTTATTCAAACAATGTAACTGCCATAGTTTYATTTTTCCTTCACTTTTGCAAGCAATTTTGTTAACAACTTCCTCAGCTATCCTGTTGACTAGACTCCTTTTCATTTAGAGTTGCAAAAGAAAACTTAATCTGGATTAAAAAAAAAAAAATATATATATATATATATATACACATATATATATATATATAATGATGTTGTGACCAACCAATAAACCCTACTACCATGGAAGAGGCCTCAGAGGAGATGGACGAAGTCTAAGGTGCCCCTGAAGCTCARGAATCAGGTAAGATATAGCTTATTAATCAATCTGTGCATCTACTGTACAGAGAATTGACTTTTATCTCAATGCACAAGGCACCAGAGGATGACCTGTGTGTTAGATAAGCAGATGTATCTGCTGAATGGATTAACTGATGTAAGCTTTCCTTCCTCAGTTGATCAAACAAGTGTAAATAGCTCCCTGAGATTAGCCAGACCAGCATGAAAGAACTGCRTATGTTAGGCTCAGCCTAACATAGGGTATAAAACTTGAACAACTAACAGAGGACTTCTGAAGATTGCGATTTGTGCTGTACACATGTACTGTGATTTCAGTACATTGCTGAACCACGCTGCTAAATCAAAAATCCCATGCGACATCACATATCTTAACATAAAATAAACTTCTATAAAAGTCAAAGTTCGCACTCTCCGTACGTGGGGAATATCAGAAAGAACCTGCTCAGAGAGTACTGGACTGACAGATGTTGAATGAAGTTACCTGTAGGTAATACATGTATTGTGGTCTGAGAAGGTCCACTTGTTGGCACTCCTGCCTGCTGCAGAGGGCTTGGCTGCAAGGGCTGTAAGGGGCGAGCCACGGGCTGCGCAGACAGGCTCAACCCTGTCACAGCTGCCTGGTTCTGCTTCTTGGCCTCYGCTTGAGGAAAAAAGTAGAAGCACGAACAGTAGTGAACAGAAATTAGAGTGTTGTATAAACAAAAGTGAACAGAAATTAAGAGTATCACTGAGTTATTTAATCTGTCCCACACAGACCACTGCAAAAAGTTTCCTAGTATGATCTTTCCTTCATCTTTTCACTCTGTAAATCAAGTTGCATAACAAAAAGAAAAAAAACCCACTCAATTCTCTCACTTTCCTCATCCMAATCTAATCACCATTTTTTATTCTCTTGCAAAAGTCTGCATATTTCAGCACAATTTGGATACCTGAATGTAATGAAACACCATGAAAAGTTTTTAAAAGCATTTCCACTAAAAGGCATTTAGAGGTTTAATACCTTATAAAATGAGAAGTCTAAATACTATTGTATTCTTTTTTTTATTTCACCCAAATCAAAACACTGTTCTACTTCAGAATAAACTGCTACTACATGAGATGTGATGTTCTAATAAGAAACACAAAAACTTGATGACATAGAAAACTTTATTAAAAAAAAAAAAAAAAGCCCCTCTTCCTCCCCGCTGCCCCCACCAAAATCTTGAGAAGTTGAATTAAATAGTTGCTATTGATAAACCACAGTAGTGGGATACCAACAATTCTACARAATAGTTTTACTTTCTACTAAATGGAGCTTCAGTTGAAATACATCACAGTGCTATGACAAGATACATTAAAACATATAATTTATTCAGACCCATAGGTAGCTTTTATAATATGTTAAAATATGACTGGATGGTTTAACCTTATTGGCAGTGTCATATTCCAAGTATAATGATCCTTTAAAAAAAAAAAAAAAAAAACCAACTTTTGAGAACCAACTTTTAGAACAGATGACAGCAATAAAAGCTGGATTCCCTATGCTGAGGAATCCTGGCACTCAACCAGGTAATTCACAGAATCATTAAAATCCTGGTCGGAAAGGACCTGGGGTGGTCATGCAGCCCAATGTCCTGTTGCTKTGGGACTACCAGTAAGGACAAGATCAGATGGGCTGTGGATTCATGTAACTGAAATTTGAAAACTTTCCAGAACGGAGATTCTACAACCCCTCTGCATAATCTGCTCCTGTGCTGCACTACCTCCCTAGAACTGAAGGACAGTTCTGCTCCATCATCTTTATAACCACCTTGTTGCAGGTCACCAAGTCACTGGAGGCTATTAAAAGGCTCCAACATGTTCTYTGGTAGCCTAAGCAAGCCAGCATCTGTCAACCTCTTCTCACAGGTCAGGTATCCCAGGACTCAGCTCTCCTGACAGCCACAGTATTCCAGATATAGCCTCATTAGCACCAGTAAGAGGGAGTACTAACTTACATTTCTATGAGAACACACTGTTAGCTCATTATTTGACTCAGTGTCCACCAYATGTCCCCTGTTAACAAAGTGCCATAGTAGCCGCTACTCAAATTAGATCATGCTTCCCAAATACTTGCTTCAATAGGCAGAAACAAAACCTTTATTCTTTTTCATCATTCAAGACGATGAAAAATATTTGCAGCTCCATTACCCTTACAGCTGTCAAGATTGTTCTTTGCTTACCTTGAGAAGAGCCATCATCTTCATCATCCAGTGTAAGATCAATGACACCTCCTGAATCGCTTCCTGCGACCTTCCCACTCTGAAAGACAAAACTCCTTCATTTTGCAAAGGCAAACCAGGAGCGGCATGAGGACAAGGGTACAAACTGAACACTGAGTAGGAGAGGTCTCAGAATTAAAGCACTTTTTAAAAAAAGARTAGATGACATGAGCAGGAGAAGGAAATTTCATTCAAATTTCCTATGACTTGAAAAACAGGCAATAACTAAAGGACTGGAATGCAGTATCAAGTATGAAAATATATTTTAGCCTTGTTAGGAATAATAAAACACTCAATAACCAGATGTTAAATCATTTTACAGGTAAATATATGACAATTTGATACTTTACAGTATCTTTCAAACGTGATTCTTAGTACTTTAAATCAACTATAATCTGTGCTTTTCTCTATAACAGTATAATTTTTTGATCTAGTCACCAGGACAATGCACTTCTTATCTTGAAACAGATCAGCCAATATGCATATAGTGAAACTGGCCTCACAACAAATAATTTCATTTTATTACCATATTTTTASCAAAACCCACAATGTTCAATTATTCAATAGATGAAGTCATTTGAAATAATTTCTTCAAAGTGAATAAAAGCATCTAAGCCTTTGTGAAGGTTAATTTTTACTTAAACAACAACAACAACAACAAAAAAAAAAACCCAAAAAACCCCAAACAAACTTAGAAGACCATCAGATAAGACCTATCCACTGCCTCAGTAAGTTCCTTAGCTGTTCAAACTGGAGGGACCAGTAACTTTTCCCCTTTAGATAACAGGAAAAAGAACAGTTAAAGTCTGATATCTTTTCTATATATTTTCCACAAAAGATCTCTAAYGGTGTGAATTCCTGACTCCTTGAGCTTGCTGGAGGACTGTGGTTTTGTTTAAGAGATGACCCCTTATTGCTGCTGGTCTGAACTGCGGCTTCTTTATGAACTACAAGAACAACCAGGTCCCTTGGGACAGAAAAAGGCTCAAGGAGAGGGACATAATTTGCAAAATTACTGAGCAATTACCATGGGGAAAAAAACCCACAAGAATTACCGGGCACAGGTAGCCAGTACGAACACTACAAATCTTGGGAAGTGCTGTCAGATGGGGACAGGTGCTTAAATAAGCTCAAGCACTGGGACTGTTTCCCYTATGAACTCCGTTGGGTAAAAGTACAAAAATACTCCTTAAAACAGATCCTGAAGACAGTTCTCACATTAGCAAGTTTTTGGAGAGACRGAGAAGAACAGCACAGTCACTAAGCACAAATGAAAGCCCTGTCCAACTGAGAGTCTCTGAATTTGGAGTGCCTGATGTAAATGTCCTCTTCATCATGCATTTAAATTAACACAATTTGCCTGAAAATTTCTTGCTGCCACTGGTTAAATTTTGATGGTAACCTAAAAGGCAAAACCTGAAGCAGGAATACCTAAACTACCTATGTTTAAAAGCAAGAGAAGGGAGATCTCTTTAAGGCTCTACACCTTTGCTACCTATACAGAAAAATCTCACAGATTTATTAATTATGGAGTTTTTCTGTTGAGAAATTTCTATTTCAAAGACTTTTCAGTTTTCTGAGTAKGATGATCTGATTTATCCACTGGAAGCTTAAGATAAAAGGAACACTCAAATAATCAATGATTACTTGACAAGCACCAAGCTGAGAGGAATTTCATTCCAACTAGGTAATTTTCTCAGTCAGCAGTGAGTATTGTGARGTATAGCTCTCATTGCTGGTAGAAAACTGCATGAAGAATGGGAGATCAGATTAAGGACAGCTGGGTAAAGAAAGAGTAACACAGCCTGAAAGTAACTTCCTTTCAATTCTTACTCCATAGGAAAGTCAAAATCACTAGAAAAATACTTTGCACAAGAACCAGCAGCTTTGGAGCCCTATTTAACCATAGGAGTTGAGAAAGTTCCAGTGAGAAGGAATCTAACATTTACAGTCTAGATCTGTTTTGAAGGCAAGATCTTTAACTGAAGTAGAACTAGTCAAATCCCTTCAGGTCTCCCTCACCCCAGCTTCTTCGGGTCATAACGCCACGTCTACACTTGCAGTATTTTAACAAAACATTTTGTAACTACCTCTACCCTTGGTTTGCATGCCAAATGCCCCAGGCAAGTCACTAACTTAGTGGGTGCAGGAGAAGAACTGTAGTGCCAAGCAGTTCTTTCATTTGATGTGAAGCAACTGAGACTCTGGAAAAGGGGCAGAAACAGGAGTCATCTAATCCTGATCCCTTTCAAATACCTGAGTGAAAGCCAGCAACTCCCGCAGAAGGGCTACCTCATTCCCACTTCCAAACACCACCCGGTCACTAGTGCTGTATGGGGCGTATGGAAGATSAAATCACAGAACCAACTCACAAATAAAACACATCCAAGAGTTCACGTTTGTGTATTCCTAGTTTTCTTTAGTTTGTATAAGGAACTGGCACTTTAAGCATTCTACGTGCAAAACTCCTGCCAAATGGTTACCTACAGTACTGATTTTTGGAGTAACATTTACAGATTTCTTTTTCACCTCCAAAACACTAGCAAGAGATTTTGATTACAGAAAATACGTATCCATGTTACAGTTATTACACCTCAATTTAAATTTAATGAGATAGCTATACTGAAAATCTCATGCATTTTCCATGTGCAGACCATGATAATATATTATCTATTTTCTTCCWATTCTAATCACAGAAATCTCTCTACCAAGAATTAAAGAAAAAAAGGTGAAAAGCAGATGTACTGACAAACAAGATACTTTTATAGGAAGAAGCCCTAAAAAAACCCAAAACCCACAATGCAATTTTCCTTGAGAAAGATAAAAACTAATGACAGTCTTGAATCTGTCATGTATGTTCACACAGAAGTGAAGGAAAATGTGTCACAGAAGAAGAGCTCATATAGGACCTAAAACACCTGTAGATTGTTAAAAATATCTAAAAACAAGGGAACTTACTGAATGCAAAAACAGTAAAATTTGCCACTTTGGGACCAACCAATTTGTATACTGTAGAGCAGCACCACTGCTGTAGACTGTAGAAGAAGAAAGAACACCTCAACTTTGTCATCTAGCAACTCTTTCAGATAAGCATTGCTGCAAGTAAGTTTGATGCGTCACTTGTAATTTTGGAAAAGCAACAACAACAACAACAAAATGCAATTCCAAAAGGAAAGCAAACAAAGGAATGAGACTGAACTTAGAGACTATCACAGGTGTAGTAGCGATGGKGGTCAGAAAAGGGGTTATTTTCATCGTGTCTACAATTGTGGAAAAAAGTTACCACGGAAATGACTAGAACATCACAGCAGATATAASAACAAACTACTAAAGAAAACTGGTAACAAAGATCTCTGAAATTCAAATTGTACAGAAATTTTTATAAAATAGATCTTTTTATGTAATATACCTAAATGCAATGCAGTTTACCACATAAAAAAGATAAATGTTGATTTCGGGAAGAAAGCTAAATAACATGTAATTTTCTATTCATATATGATATGTAATTTTAAAAATGTTTTGGTATTATATAACGCCGTGGTTCAGTTCACGTAGAAATAACACAACTATTAATGTAATGCCACCTGCTTTTCATAAACAAATACTGAGTAAGAGTGGAGAAAAAAGAAAACAAAACAAAAATCCCCAAACCAACCAGCTTCAACTCAGTGCAAAATCAAAATTCATTGCAGGATAGTAAGTACTCCAAAATCTGAACATCTTTTGTGCTGCACCAACATGGTGCAAATACTTTTGTTGTAATAACTTCTGGAGTAACAATAAAAAGAATCAAGARTATTTTAAGACAGACAAAAGCATGAAGCATCAGACTACCACAATCATGCATGACGTACCAAGGCGTTATGTAATAGCAAAAATTTAATCCTAAATTCTGAAAAGCAGTGTTAAAATCGTGCTCTGTGTGGCTGTGTATGAGAGAGAGAGGCAGAGAGAGAGAGGAAGAGGGGGAGCGTGACTTCCTTTGGATAATTATACAGCCCCCATTATGTTTTCACTCATCCATAGATAAAACTACAAATTTCTAGCACAGCATAAGTAACTTTGGAAATTGGAAGTTTTTAGCATTTTCCAGTACACTTCAGTCACGTACTGCTTCAGTCAGGCTCATCACCCCTTAGCAATTATTAATTCCAATGCAGTACCTCCCACAACATTGAAATAAGTGTTTCAGCCTCACAGAGATGTCATGAAAATTTATTTGACCAGGTACCTAATGCATGACAGCTCTCATCAAGACAGAAATGATCATTAACGCAATAAAGCTAGCAGTTTACTGAGTTCATACCTCATACAAACAATTTTACAGGGCCGTAATACTTGTTTTGACCGTGGCTGCACACTCGTGTAATATTCAGAAAACTCTCAACAGTCGTCTTATCTATTACAGTTAAGGCAAAACTACTGTGTCCCCTAAAACTTCTGCACTGTGCAACACTTTCTACAGAACAAGAAAAATTCAAACAAGAAAAAAAAACAGTCTTATGACACCTCATGGAATATATTCCCTTACAGTTCTTCGCTGCAAAGAGCAGACAGAGGGTTTGCTACCCCTTCAGGTAAAACTCAACTCAAGGAGTCTATCTCAAAGATTGCTAGGGCCTAAGAAGAGCACTTTAGACAACCACAATCATAACTCTGATCCAAAATCATAAGGGAAAACACACTTGAGACAGCACTTCAAGTATTTCTCTACGGCCGTGATTTTGCTTTTTCTTAATCATACAGTTAAAAGAATATATAAAACCTATATACATATGCATGTACACACATGTCTCTTCAMTGGTTTTATTGTTTTAAGGTGAAACATCTACCTTGTTTTCCTGAAGGCCACTGACAGTCCCCAACAGTACCATGTGGGAAGGTCATCTTGAACGATGAGAGGTTTTATCAGTAAATCTATTTATAGCACATTTCAGAATAGTTTAATGCATCTTTTTATAGCTATTATCTGTGTTTGGTGTAATAACATTATTAGTTATATTGTTTTAATACCCTATTTTTTTGAGCCTCAAACAGACC